TATGTAGCTTGAACAAAAAGGCCAAATTTAAACATTTTTTGCCATGAGCCTTTATTCAGCTGATAAGTGTCCAGTCTTTGTTGCTGAAAAGCTTTTAAAGATTCTGTTGTTATCTTATTTAGTCCTTCAAAATACTTTTTTGTGCCAGTCCTGGGGCTTGAACTCAGAGCCTGGGAGTCACCCTAAGTTTGCACTCCAGGCTAGCACTCTACCACGTGAGCCACAGCTCTACTTTTGGCTTTCTTTTTTGATAGTTATCTGGAGGTGACTTTCCTGCCCGGGATGGCTTTGAACCAAGACCCTCAGATGTCAGCCTCCTAAGTAGCTGGAATGACAGACGTGAGCCATCGGTGCCCAGCTCAAAACAATTTCTTGATTCTTCAAGGCCCCAAATATTTTGGGATGTCTCTAATTTCACTTCTACTTTTACACTGGATGGATCTCTCCTGAATGGTTATCATCCATGTAGTATCTTGCCGGCAGAGCCAACAATATTGGTATCAAGGGTTGGTGGTGCTGGCTGTGGTGTGTAGTGGTGGTGGTGATAAAGTCTTTATATCTGGTAAAGAGAATGCAACTGGGTCAACGCAGGCCACAAAAGCTGGGTCAGAGGCCTTGAGAGAACTAGAGCCAAGGGACTGAGAACAGAGTAATAAACTTCGTTCCCAGTAAAGGAGCAAGCTGTTCATTGCAAAGCTAAGGTCTTGGAAGAACATGAAAGTGGGTCCGATGTGCAATTAAGTCAAAGTCACTAAGAAAACCCTCTAGGCAAGTGAGGATCCGAGGAAAGGTTTTTCCATGCTATCTTCTCCCCTCCTTCATCCAATCAACCCCACTGTCCTCCTGACACTCCTCCCCCCTCAGGCCGCTCTGCCTGGCTCCCTTCCTTGGCACCTATCTCTCTTAAGTTGCCTCTACCTGCTCGATCCATAGCTATCCAATCTGCAGGTCCTCAGGCCAGGAAGTCAACTATCTCAGCCAGAAGGTGTGCACAAAATTCCAGAAGCCTTTGCACTGGGTTCTCAGGCACTTGCCTGGGGAAAGAAACAAGAATATCAGCTCCCTTTTAAGTGTCCCACTAAGAGGCACAGATTTCATAGCCCACAGGGATAGAGAAGCAACCAGGGTCTTCCTGGGACAGCTGTGGTTGTAGGGAACAGCAGGGCTTTGGTCCCTGGGGATGAGGGGCTGGCAGTTCGATAACATTCTCATCAGGCTGTCCTGTGGGGGGCCACTCTGCCCACGGACACTTCACCGGGGTACCCGCTTCACCTCTTAGGCAAGACCTACTTCTCACTCACACACCTCTTCTAGGTTTTAGCAGTGAAACAGTCAGGTAACATGTCTGTGGTTGTTTTATGGTTTACCAAGGCCCCTCCCATCCCTCTGTTCCCCCGACTGGGCCTGTTACAGGCCAGGGACCTGCCCCCCAAGCAATATCAGAGTGCTTATTTTGGCATTGGATTTGGTTTGGATTTTGGAGGCACACTACATCGAGAAATACAAATTGTATTATGCTGGGCCAACTTTCTGGAGTCTAGATGAGTAAGGAAGGCCTTGGGAATGCTACCTTCGTGTCTGGAGGCACTAGGCTCCTGGGTTACTTTCAGGGATCATCCTTGAATAACAGTGGTTATTGTTGACCTGTCAATCACTTCCAGCCTCAAGAATCTCATAATGAACCCTCCCTCCTTTGGACTGCACTGTGAGAAAGCAGCATATATTCATTTAATCTACTCTTTGTCAGAGCTGATACCACTACAACCAATGTGGAGAAAAACATCATAACCAACCAGGGCAGTACCTTGTGGCCAGCAACAGTCAGCTCTACTTTTCCTTATTCTGGTCAACCTCAAGTTTCCCTTGGTATAGGCTTCCAACTCTTTATAATGCTTATAAGCTCCTAATCAACCTCTCACTCCCACCCAAAAGTACCATCTCTTGCATCATCAGAGATACTTGAGAGTTGATTATTAAATAGAGTTGATCAAATAGAAGTGATTGAAATAACCTGGCCTGTATTTGCAAGCCTTTCCTCTCATCCCAATGGTATAAGTAGGTACTCAGACCAGGGAATTATGATCACGCTTCCACTGTGTATTATTTGTGCACACTCTCTAAACAGGATAAAAATGGGAAGCTAACTCCACAATAGAGTCACGATCACGTGAGACAGCTCACAGTATAGTGCCTTATGTCCTGTGAGCAACAGTAACTTACCATTATCATTACTAAAACATCCCCACCCAAAGGAAGCCTTTTACTTACCTCCACAATAGAGTCTAAACTTCTAAACATGGGGTCCTCATGACACATGTGCTGTCTGCCTCTGCAACCTTACCTCCTGCCACTCTGCCTAGAATAAATACTATGCTCCAATAATAGTAAACTGTCGGGCTGGGAAGGTGGCTCAGTGGTAGAGTGCTTGCCTCGCATGCATGAGGCCCTGGGTTCGATTCCTCAGCACCACATAAGGAGAAAAAAAGCTGGAAGTGGCACTGTAGCCCAAGGGGTAGAGTGCTAGCCTTGAGCTGAAGAGCTGAGGGACAGCACCCAGGCCCAGAGTTCAGGCCCCACGACTGACAAAAAAAAAAAAAAAGTAAGTAGGGGTCTTGACTACAGAAAAGTACCAGTTAATATCTGTAAAAAAGTTCTTCTAGCCCCAACTTGTATCTAGCCAAAACGGCTTTGATCTGACTATAATGTCATCTTCAGGATATACAACACTCGGTATGTTGTGTTTTGAGTTCTGTATTGGAATTTCTAGGCTGTGTTCCTCTGCCCTCTGCCCCGTTCCTATCGCACAAGCCAAGTGACTTCACTGAAAGGTGAGGTGCAGCTTTACTTCACTTGACAGGAACTCAGGGTCAGCCTGGCAGAAATGTCTGGTGGTAAATGTTCCCTATGGGCTTCTCACTGCTTCTGGGAAAGCAGGAAAAGGAAGAGAAGAGCCTGGTCTGCCAGACACCGTGGAAACCTGGATTGGCGTCACTCCAAGAGGCTTTCCCTGCTCCACCTTTGCCGGCCACTTCAGACCTCTCTGAGTTCCTCAGCTTGCTTCGTTGCCAGCCCTGGCCTCCTGCCCGTGTGTCCTATTACCCTTTGGAAGGAACTTTAGCTCCTGTCCCATGGGATGTGACTCCGTCAGTGTATTTAAACAATGTAAGATTCAGAAGCAGATATAAATATTAGTTTTTCCATAGCTCCCTTGCATAGCATTGTGTTTTAGAGATGAAGAGATTGCAACCTAACTCTCACAAGTTTAGGAAATGGGATTCAGTACCACTTCCCACACAAAGGGAAAATAAGGTCTTTCTCTAGTTTATTTTTTGGTCGGTTGTGGGGGCTGAACTCTGGGTCTGGGTGCTGTCCCTCAGTTCTTCAGTTCAAGGCGAGCGCTCTACCACTTGAGCCACAGCGCCACTTCTGGCTTTTTCTGCTTATGTGGTGCTGAGGAATCGAACCCAGGGCCTCCCTCATGCACTGTACCACTGAGCTACCTTCCTAAACCCTTCCTTTTTTTTTTTTTTTTTTGTCGGTCATGGAGCTTGAACTCTGGGCCTGGGCACTGTCCCTCAGCTCTTCAGCTCAAGGTGAGCGCTCTACCACTTGAGCTACAGCGCCACTTCCGGTTTTCTGGTAGTTTGTTGGAGATAGGAGTCTCACGGACTTTCTTATCCCAGGCTGGCTTTGAACTGTGACCCTCAGCTCTCAGCCTCCCGAGCAGCTAGGATGACAGGCGTGAGCCACCACCGCCCGGCTTCTACTTTCTTTATGAGCCCATTATGGTCTCTAGCACAGTCTCTTGTTCTCCAGTTAATCAGTCTTCTTTAGATGTATACTATGTAAATTTGTATCAGTACAAATGTTAACCTCCCCTGAGTACAAATATTGTCTAAATGAAAACATGAAATAAAGTCTAATAACTTCTTATGACATATTACTAAGTAAATGTTTAACTTTTTTTTTTTTTTAAATAAAAACCTTTCCATGGCCCTGCTGATAAGACTGATGTCCTGCTGGTGCAGGTACCTGGGCTCTCTGGATGAGCCTGTGCATAGCTTGTGCTCAGTGGCCCGCTGGGACTCCTTAGGCAAGCCTGCTTTCGGGTCGCCTAGATGCCCTCTGCACTTGGGACACTAAACGTCCATCACCCGCTCCCCAGCCCCGGCGACTCCGTGGCAGCTCCGGCCTGGTCAAACCAGTGACTTTCCTCAGGCACTGGTTCAACCACATCCGTTCAAATAGTCTGAATCCCTTCGGGTTTATGCTGTGTTGAGTGTCCTCCCTTACTCCTCGGGTGCCATTCAGAGATTCCTTATGTCCTGTAGTCACTCTTTTGCGCTAAGCAGTAATTCTTTATTATAGAACATCACCTGTTTAACCTACAAAGGAAAAAAAACACCAAAAATATTTTCAACACCGCCGTACTATAAAACAAATCCTTTAATTTTTTAAAATGTTTTATAAAACAATTTTACACTTAAGCCAGCCTTGAAGATAAGCACAAAATTTACCAGTTTACAAAATAAAAACAAAAAACAACCAAACAAAAACAAAAACCCACAACAAACTCAGGCACCCACACTGTGCATAGCACGATTCTAGGTGCAATAAATGGGAATCTTAGCCTTAGAAACGTGATTTCACTTTCTGGAACTGCACCGTCTCCTTTCCCAGAGAGTAAAAATAAATAAAGTCCCCGCTGCTTCCGCCTCATCTGACCCTCTTCTGGCTCACAGGAAAGCAAATTTCTAAGAACAATTTTGGATGCTTTTATATTTTTGGGTCCAGTCGTGGGCCTGAACTCTGGTCTTGGGCACTGTCCCTCAGCTCTTCAACTCAAGGCTAGTGCTCTACCACTTGAGCCACAGTGCCACTTCTGGCTTTTTTTTTTCTTCTGCTTATGTGGTGCTGAGGAATTGAACCCAGGGCCTCTTGCATGCGAGGCAAGCACTCTACCACTGAGCCACCTTCCCAGCCCTTCTAAGAACTTAAGATGCGATGAACTCAGTACCTGCTCCTCTTAGAAAGCAGAACTCCATTTTCTCTAATACAATAGAAATAATTTCCACATAAGGTTGGTCTGTTCCTCACAAGCATTTTTAAAAATGCCATTTCTCTCTAGATTTTCTTCCTGATAGCCTTTTTTTCTTTTGCAAAAAGCAAATCAACTCATCACTTTAAGCTGTTTTTTTTTCTTTCCTGAGAAAAGTTCTGCATCTTTGAAGACAAACCATTCCCGAGAGTAGTGATAAAAATATTCAACTTTAAAGGTGAGTCACCTATGTTACCTCAATGAAGTAAAGACATACAAAGCGGTTGGCACTAAGATAGCTATTCCAAGTATCTGTGTCTAAACAATTTAAAAACTTTATTTTGTAAGAATGCACCTCTAGTCCAAAGTAATTATGCTTTAAAAAATTTTTGGCCAAAAAATTTACAAAACCCCTTTCAGTACGACCTAATAAAAGTGATATTTAGAAAATACCCCACATTATTAAGTTTCTCTTTAAAAAGTTCCGACTCTAGATTATCGGTAAGGCACGGTGTTCTGGAAGACAGACGTGCTTCTGCTGGCACTGCGTGACGTTCCAAGCCTCCACGGCGGCCATCTTCTTCTGACGAGATGGGACCCCGCAAAGTCAGACGTAGGCTCCCAGGGCGGCGTGGAACTCTGTGAGACACTGGACCAGCTGTTGAAACTTGGGCCTCTCCTCCGGATCTAAGGCCCAGCAACAGGCCATGACAGCAAATCTACAGTAACAACAATAGCAAAACCGGCTCATGATCACATGGCACTTCCTACCTTTCGGTTGATCTGATGTCAGTTATGCTCGCTATCCACAGCGATACGGAGAAGATAACGTTAAAAATAGATCAATTTGCTGGGCGCCGGTGGCTCACACCTGTAATCCTAGCTACTCAGGAGGCTGAGATCTGAGGATCTTGGTTCAAAGCCAGCAGGAAAAGACCGTGAGACTCCTATCTCCAATAAAAACCACTAGAAAGCTGGAAGTGGCGCTGTAGCTCAAGTGGTAGAGCACTCGCCTTGAGCTGAGGGACAGCGCCCAGGCCCAGAGTTCAAGCCCCATGACAAAAAAAAAAAAAAGATCAATTTTACCACATGTTCACAGTTCAAGAGTGGAAAAAGAAGCTAAAAGGAATGATCTGGCTAATACATGTGGATTTCAATTCTTCACAGTATCATAACCAAAAGACTTCAGCAGATATGTGTATACATGTGAGACAGCTGAAGTAACAACTTGTGTTGTCCTGTAAGTTCTGAGAGGAAGAAGCTGGAAGTGCTATCCAGGAACCCTGGATATAGCTGCTGCCCTGCTCTGTTCAGCCCCTGCCACCCCATACCCATGATATGTGAGGTTAGTCGTGTGATGAACGCAGGAGGCAGAAGCAACTATGTCCTCACTAGCCCAGAGCATCGTCCCTAGGCATCCACTGCCAGGTGTCAACGTGACAAGGCAGGGTGCCGATGAGAAAGGCTCTGAAGACACTCGTTCTTAAGTCTGTTAAGCAAGTTAGGACGAAACTCTTGTCATTTTTCTCTCCGTTACATTCTACTCTCAGACTGCTCTGTAGCACGCATATCACACGCCACAAATGCAACAGGCCAGGTGCGTGAAAAGAGTGAGAGAATGTGAGTGTGGATTGTACAAGTGCCCAATTCAAGTCTAAAGTGTCAATATTGTCAAAGGGTAGGCTTCCATATCCTGTACGAACACGGAAGCCTGCTCTTTTTCTTTTATGACAATGAAGTAGATGGAATAAATTTCGTGTCTTCGAGATCAAGAACAACTCACAGTTCGTCAGGACAGTTGATGGGCTGGGCTATCCGGTAGCCATCTTTCAGGTACGCGGCCATCTCAAAGGGGTCGATGTCCACGTAGGGGGTCTGGCCCAGGGTCATGAGCTCCCACAGCGTCACTCCGAAGGCCCACTGAAAAGAAGAGCAGTGGCACAAAGAAGTGGCATATAAAACAGCTGCCTACGGACAGCTACAGGCCCCAAAGAGCAGTTCCACTTAACTCTCAAGAAAGCAGAATATTCGTGTTTATAAAAGTCTACAGCTGACCATCACCGCAGATAGTTATGAAGTGGAAGCAGAAGCTGAAGTCTGGGACCATGGCTAAGCTACTAAGACCATAACTAAAAAACAAAAGCAAATGAGTTGGGGTCATATAGCTCAATGCTGGAATGCTTCCCAGCAAGCAAGCAGTCTCAGGTCCAGCATCTCAGGACCTAGAATCGTTTTCGTTGACAGTCATTATCAGTAGAGCAATGCCCAGTTCATACTCTGGGAGGAAGGGGGAGAGAGAGAATAGGTAGATGGACATATAATTTTAACATCCCCAGTGACTTGGCACCTACTACAATTTCCTTTAAATTTACTGGGGTATTCTATTCCCTTTAAAACGCTAAGATGATTTCAAGCCTCATGCTTTGACACCACCAACACAAAAGAATCAACACTATTTCAAATTAATAAAAGCTAAATGGCAGTGTGTGCTTACATCCAATTATTTTCCTATTTTAAAATCTTATTCTGAGTTGGGCACTGGTGGCTCACGCCTGTCATCCTAAGCTACTCAGGAGGCTGAGATCTGAGGACAGTGGTTCAAAGCCAACCCAGGCAGGAAAGGCTGTGAGATTCTTATCTCCAAATAACTACCCCCAAACTGGGAGTGGAGCTGTGGCTCAAAGTGGTAGAGCACTAGCCTTGAGCAAAACAAAACAAAACAAAACAAAAAATAACACCACAAAAATTCACTCTGTGGTATCTTACAACTGATAGTGCATAGGAAGGATAAAACTTATCTTCTAAATAGTGTCTAAGTTCTAGAGTGGATAATTCGCTACACAGATAAACTGAGAAGGCTGACTGAAAAAAGATGTTTCCATTCCTTCTTCATGAGACAGGGGGGAGCTGGTTCTTGTCCACTGACCATGGCAGAACTAAAGGAAGAAACAATTTATATTTTGGAGGAAGAAACAACGGGAAATGGTGACAAGGAAATACTGGTACTGGGAAATATTGGCAGTGGTAGCTAGAAAGTAACTCCATGGACAATGGAGATAAAGCATAACATCTTTTGACTAGGACAGACTCTTGACAGTCCTGCTAGGTAATGCTGACCTGGAGCTATCCACAGGTAATGTAACAATACAATGTGACAGGCTAACTAGTAACATCACTTTTCTTGAGCTATGGCTATAGCATAGCATTTGCCCGGTATACTCAAAGCCTGGCACTGGGGGGAAAAATTACCTCTTTCACCATATTTGGATATTATTACTGCTAGTCCCCTAAGATTGTCTTGTACGGGCTGCAACATTTAAAAATACTACGAAAAAGAGAACAATCAAGCTCAAAGCTACACTGCACGTTCATTCCTTTAAAAACCAACAAAAGTGATTCATTACATGATGTCTAATCAATCACTAAAAATGAAAGCTCATGACCAATGAGACAAGGATGATTTGTGGAAAATTGTTCTCTCAAGTCTTCTGATAACTAAATCATTTAAAATCTAGACAGACCTATTCTATAATTCCCTTCTGTTTGACGTAGTTGGAAAGTAAGCAGTAAGAAGGTCAAGCTAATTTTTCCCGAATTTTGTGAGAGATTTTGGCTATATCTATTGAGAGGACATTTATAGACTAACAATGTTTTTGCTGTTGTTGTTTTTGGTGTCAGATCTAGGGCTTAAACTCAGGGTCTGGGCACTGTCCCTGAGCTTTTTTTGCTCAAGGCTAGTGCTCTACCAGTTGAGCTACAGCTCCACTTTCAGTACTTTTGGTGCTTAATTGGAGATAAAGAGTCTCACAGGCACTTTTCTGCCCAAGCTAGCTTCAAACCATGATCCTCCATATCAGCCTCCAGGATGACAGGCGTGACCCACCAGCGCCCAGCTGGTATACTGACTAAAGTTGAGGTCACTTAATTAAGAGATTTCCAGTCAAATTAAAATGCCAGACTGGCTTCAGTACATGATTCAGTCACACACACACCCCTCCTCCAGCAATATCCAGTTCTGCTTTCCACATCTTCAGTTACTCTCAATCAGCTATAGAAAAGTTAACTCTGCCCTGTCTGGAAGGGGCTCCCACCTCAAGGAACCTGCCTGCCTGGCTGTGGTGCTGCCAGTGGCAGAGAAGGCAGAATACCCAACTAGAGAATTATTCTCGACTCTTCAAAGTTTAATGTCATTCGCTTCTTAAGAGTTTGGACTTACAATCGTGTTTTCTTTTCTAGTTCTGCCTTTGGGGACAGATAAATTTGTCCCTTCACTGTAATTCAGAAGCGTATAACTTACCTAGTTGCCCAGGTTCAGAGCAAGAGAAGAATTTTGCTACAGACAAACCATATCTTGAGGCTCACTAACACCAGACAGAAAACATTTAGATGAGCTTTTAGCTTTTACATTTTAGACTCAGAAGCTAGTGGTCGAATGAGTTCAGACTTTCAAGGCTAACAGTCGAGGGAACAAATACATTGTACAGGTGAAGAGGATGTGAATTTGGCAGACCACCAGTGAAATGTTACAGACTAAATGCCTTTGTGGAATGATTAATTAGGTCACAATGGTGGAGATCTTACTCAAGAAAATAAGATCGGTGCCTTCTCAAAAGACTCCAAAACGAGGCGCCAGTGGCTCACGACTATAATTCTAGCCACTCAGGAGGTTGAGATCTGAGCATCGTGGTAGAAGCTAGCCCTAGCAGAAGTTTGTGAGACTCATCCCCAATTAACTAACAAAAAAGCCAGAAGTGAGGTTGTGGCTCGAGTGTTAAAAGGGCCAACCTTGAGCAAAAAAGCTACGGGATGGCATCTGGGCCCCAAGTTCAAAAACTACTCTAGAAAGCTCCCTCATTCTTTATGCCATGTAAGGACAAAAAGATGAGTAAGAGCAAGTGTAACATCCTGAAAGTGAAAGAGCTACAGAAAATATACTAAGGACAGCTACTCAATCAATGAGCAACCGTTTGGCTCTGAAGACTGATATTCCTAACATAAACTATGGGAAGTGGCACTGTAGCTCAAGTGGTAGAGCACTAGCCTTGAGCTGAAGAGCTGAGGAACAGCGCTCGGGCCCAGAGTTCAAGCCCCATGACTGACTAAAAACAACAACAACAACATAAACTATGCTCTTCATTCCATGGAAGTATCAGGTCAATTAAAATGATAACACTTAATAAAGCAAAATAGTATCTTGATATTATTAATATCATATCTTAAAATTTTTTGTGTCGGTCTGGGGTTTGAACTCAGGGCCCCGGCGCTGTCCCAGAGCTTTTTTTGTTGTTGTTCAAAGTTAGCACTCTACCACTTGAGCCACAGTTCCTCTTCCATCTTTCTTGGTGCTTAAGTGGAGATAAGAGTCTCACAGACTTAGCTGCCCTCAGCTGGCTCTGAACCACAATCCTCAGATCTCAGCCTCGTGATGGTGAGGACTACAAGCGAGAGCCACCAGTGCTCCTTCTTATATCTTAAATACTAAGGTCTGAAAAGATCCTTTACCTCTAAATTTTTCTTAATGCCTGTCATTTCCTCTTAATTTAGTACTTAAATAGGAATCTAAGATTTCTGATGTATAAATTCTTTCACCATGAAGGAAATAACTACTAGGAACCAAAGCATCGCTCTAAAAACAACAAGAAAAGTTTTCTGCACTTTGGTACCTCTAGCTTTCTCTGTGATACCACAGTAGTTCAACAACTACTCCTTGTGGTGTTTTATAAATCTGAAGGTTTCTTCAATTGTGCTAAGGAAATAGGGATGACCGTGGTACTGAGCAAATAAGAATAAGAAGTAATATTTGACAGATGCAAGCTTGGGATCACTTCACAAATTCTCTTCCTTCTGGGTGGTCATTAACATCCACAAAAAAATAAAGGCTCAAAGGGACACATTTTTATATCCTAAAAATCATTCAAGGCTTTAAAGTATCTCTTCATAGCCATATGCCCATACTGATAAGAATTCGCAGGAAAGGTGTTTCTTTGACTTGTTTTTCCCAAGAAAAGCTTTATAATACTACATAGTAAGAAAAGAAAACCAACAACTGTGCTGTTCTGATTGCATTTAGTCTGTTAATAGGAAATAGTTATTTTAATAGCAGTATTACACGAATTGGTATGATTAGCCAAAGGGTTCAAAGAAGACATAAATCAAATTCTCAAGGGAAAAGAAAGTCACACACACGTACAAAAAAAAAGCCCAATGATTGTACCCGAATCTGTTGAAAACAATAAAAACAATCCAGACATCAAGAATGTCTTGATTAGGTCACATCTTGGAATAATATCAGAAAGACATTTATAACCAGTCAAATCAGTTATACATATATTTCCTAAACCCGAAAGTTAAAAGTCGATGTTCCCATTAAGAGAATCTTGACATATTGAAATATTGAAATCTTTCCAGTAATAATTATTAAAGCAAAGCCTAGAGATGTAATATATTATTTTTAAGACAGAGTACATCAATCAACCTCTGTTCTTTTAATCCACTAAGGCTATAGAAATCTGTTATAGCGGTCCATGGAAACTAATGTATGGGGAAGACCGCATACCAGTGAATGTAACTAATGGAATAGCAGAATTACTGTTTAGTATAACATACCATTAAAAGAGAAAGCCTTAAAGTGCACAAACTTTGAATATTAAATAATAAAATACACTGAGACACCAGATACATTTTAAGCCTAAATTGACACTTTGGACCAAATTATTCTAGAAGATTTTACATGTAAAACATTTGATGGTATCATTATGGAAGAGGACTGTTTTTATTTTGTCGGTCATGGGGCTTGAACCCTGGGCCTGGGCGCTGTTCAGCTCAAGGCTAGCGCCCCACTACTTGAGCCACAGTGCCACTTCTGGCTTTATCTGCTTATGTGGTGCTAAGGAATTGAACCCAGAGCCTCACACATGCAATGCAAGCACTCTACCACTGAGCCACCTTCCCAGCCCTGTAAGAGGACTTTATAAGCAAACGTTTTACCTCATATTTAAATAGACAGATATATTGTACAGCAGCCATGAGAATGGAAAATCCGTCATTGTCCCCCAAGGATCAAACCCAAGGCCTCGTGCTTGCTGGACAAGCGGCTCTGTCGCTTGACCTCTGTCCCAGTCCTTTTTTACTTTGTTTCTGAGATATGGTCTCACTGATTGTCCAAGTTAGTTTCAATCTCGATATCCTCCTTTCTCTGCCTCTAGAGCAGCTGGGAAAACAGGCATGCCCAAACATGTTGCACAGCCCATGAAGAATAATCTAAACTAGACTAAGACGTAACAGTAATTAAAAAAATAAAATGAGGGCTGGGAAGGTGGCTCAGTGGTAGAGCGCTTGCCTTGCATGCATGGGTTCGATTCCTCAGCACCACATAAACAAAAAGAAAAAAGCTGGAAGTGGCACTGTGGCAAGTTGTAGAGCGCTAGCCTTGAGCTGAAGAGCTGAGGGACAGCGCCCAGGTCCAGAGTTCAGGCCCCACGACCGGACCCAAAAAACATTTAAAAAAATAATAAGAAAAAATAAAATAAAATGACAAAGTAAATGTGGCTTCTCAAACAGTACAACACCAAGTATAAAGAATTTATATAGCCAAGTGACGGTGGCTCACACCTGTAATCCTATCTACTCATGAGGCTGAGATCTGAGGATTGTGGTTCAAAGCCAGCCCAGTCAGGAAAAGTGTGAGACTTTATCTCCAACTAGCCACCAGAAAAAAAAAAATAAATAAAAAGAAGTGGTGCATGGCTCAAAGTGGTAGAGCATTAGCCTTGAGCAAAAAAAGGTTAGGGACAGTGCGCAGGCTGTGAGTTCAAGCCCCACAATTGACCACAAAAAAAAGGAGAAAAGATCACTTACTGTATCCTGTCTAACCCTCCATAGCCTCATCTTTAAACTGGGATGACAGTGCCTACCAAGGTTAGCAGCGCCCTCCCGTGGTAGATGTGAGGATAAAATGATATCGATCACATACTGCTGGGTCAACTTAGCAACTAATTACACTTGCTTCTCAAATGAAAAATTTTAGGGAATTATTAGATTTCAACGTAAAGCATTATAAAATAGGATATTCGTTCTGTTACTCTCTAGGGGTCCCCGCACTTACCACATCGCTAGCACTGGAGAACTCATTATTAACCAGACTTTCGAGAGCCATCCATCGAACTGGCCTGTTCTCATTGTCCCCAAGACAGTGGTAGTCCATGGGGAACAAGTCTCTGGAGAGGGCATTGTCTGTGATCTTAACTTGAAGGGTGTCATCAATGCTAAAGGTAAAAAAATGACCGTCAGAGGCAATCCGGCTATCGCGGTTAAGACTCGAACACAACCCGAGACCTACTGTGACCTCTGGACCTCAAAATCCAAGGAGGACTGCCCAAGATGATGACAAACTCATGGCACCTACACGCAGTTCCTGGCAGCCAGGTCCTTGTGGATCACTTCCCTTCTGGCCAGGTAACTCATTCCGCAGGCAATCTGAATAGCCATGTCTACCAGGTCTTGTTGAGAGATTGCCTGTGGTGAGAGAAAGATGACAAAGTCTGTAGATGGTACAAAGCTTGTGCTAGTGGCTACTGATTTTATTCCATGAGCCTATTCTACCCCAAAATACTTGCACTCTTCAGCTCAAGGCCAGCGCTCTACCGCTTGAGCCACAGCACCACTTCCGGTTTTCTAGTGGTTTATTTGAGATAAGAGTCTCATGGACTTTCTTGCCCGGGCTGGCTTTGAATTGTGATCCTCAGATCTCAGCCTCCTGAGTAGTCACAATTACAGGCGTGAGCCACCATTGCCCAGCTTCCAAAATACTTTTTATCTATACACTGAGTATTAATTAATTACTTTGGATTTTACATGTCAGTACTAGAGCTTGAACTCAGGGCCTGGGTGCTGTGTCCCTCAGCTTTTTCACTCAAGGGTGGTATTCTACCCCTTGAGCCACGGCTCTATTTCTGCTTGTTGATGGTTAAATGGAGATAAGAGGTTCACAGTCTTTCCTGCTCAGGCTGGCTTCCAACTGTGATCCTCAATCTTAGCCTCTTGAGTAACTAAGATTATAGGCATGAGCCACTAGAGCCTGACTGTGGGGCTTGAACAGCCTAGGCACTGTCCTTGATCTCCAGTCGTCACAATAGAAGCCAAATGCCTCTGAAAAGTCTGTTCCCATACCTAGAAAGGAGGCCTAGGACAACAAGCGTCTTTGCAGAGTTCTCAGGAGAATGACTGGGATGGTGTTACAGACAGTTAGAGGTGGCTATGAATAAACATACAGTGAAATTACAAGGAAAAAACCTTAGCATCAGCTGAGTGTAAGGTAAGAGGTCCTTAGCTGGTTGAATGGGGTTTAGAATTAGACCTGTAAAAATACGGAAGCATACACCATCTTTGTTTTCCTTTAAATCAGCAGGCTATAAACATTGTCTGGCTCCGTTTCAGTTTCTTTTTGAAGATCTTTAAGCAGTGTATATCTAAGACTGTTAATATCTGATTATACTTTCAAAAACTATTATCATAAATACTAGCAAATAATTAGTATTTGGGCAAATATGTCTCACCTGAGGATTGTTGGCCTCTACTAATTTGCACTGCCGTAAAAACAACTTAAGATTCCCCCAATTCATGTAAGGCAGTACCACCATGGGCTTTTCTCCTTCTTCTATACACACGTGAGTGATAGGAAGAAGGTTTCTGTAAAATAGTAAGAAATTGGGAGAAAGACAGATGAAATCTAAAATATTTATTAGGGGCTTATTTTAAATAAACAATTTAAAACAAACAAAATCCCGAATATACTCAACATATTCATGATGAAGAAGTTTTCATTATAAATGCTCTGGTTTGTTTACAGCTAATTTACAAGTGTGCCCATAAATGTGCTTTCTTGATAGGTAAATCTTTACCCCAAACTGTGTTTAACATGGGGGGGAGGGGGAGCCACTTCAGACACTTAGAAATGACTTGGCCCTAAGAATAATAACACTATTACCATACTTTTTGTGTGTGAGTGTGTATACGTGTGTGTCAGTACTGAGACTTGAGCTCAGGGCCTTCTGTTCTTGCTTGACCTGACACTCTGGGCTGGGCTCTCTTCCACTTGGGCCATATCACCAGTCAAGCATTTTGTTAGTTGGAGATGGAGTCTTGCAGACTTTCCTGACTGGACTTGTTTCAAACTGTGATTCTCCTAGTCTCAGCTTTCTGAGTAGCTAGGATTACAGAGGTGAGCTACTTAGCTATGATCAACTTTTTTTAAATGTCCACACCGTGGACAATTAAAAAAAAAAAAGTCTTAGCCGGGCGCTGGTGGCTCACGCCTGTAATCCTAGCTACTCAGGAGGCTGAGATCTGAGGATCGCGGTTCAAAGCCAGCCCGGGCAGGGACCGTGAGACTCCTATCTCCAACAAACCACCAGACAACCGGAAGTGGCGCTGTAGCTCAAGTGGTAGAGCACTCGCCTTGAATTGAAGAGCTGAAGGACAGCGCCCAGGCCCAGAGTTCAAGCCCCACGACCGACAAAAAAAAAAAAAAAAAAAGTCTTGAAAAGTCCTTAGTCATACAAGATCTAGAATTAATGTATCTGAAAACTCTACCATTTAATATCTAGAAGACTTAAGCTTAGCTTTCATACTTGTAACATGAGGATCACACCTACTGAAAGAAGTTGTTAATCACGTGTGAAATAGCACTAAGCATGTAGATGATCTTATTCCTATATTTTAATTTTTATGGAGCACATATAAACATTTCAACCTATTTCATAATAATATTCCTTCCACTAATGTCTGGAAATAACTGCTAATTTTTTCCAAAGTTCTGTAACTTTTTTTTTTTTGGTCAGTTGTGGGTCTTGAACTCTTGAACGCTGTCCCTCAGCGCTTCAGCTCAAGGCCAGCGCTCTACCACTTGAACCACAGCGCCACTTCCGGTTTTCTAGTGATTTATTGAAGAGTCTCTCTCATGACTTTCCTGCCCGGGCTGGCTTTGAACCTCGATCCTCAGCCTCCTGAGTGGTTAGGAATACAGGAGTTAAGCCACCGGCGCCCAGCTTTTTATTTTGCCAGACCTGGGGCTTGAACTCTGGGCCTGGGTGCTGTCCTTGAGCTTCTTTTGCTCAAGGCAAGTCCAGTTTGGCCACAACACCACTTCCAGCCTTTTTCTGTGTATGTGGTACTGAGGAATCAAACCCAGGGCTTCAAGAATGCTAGGCAAGCACTCTGCCACTGAGCCACCTTCCCAGCCCGGTTCTGTAACTTCGTCCTAGTTATTGTTTCTTTTTTCATTAAGCTAGTAAACAGAAACTAACATAGTTTCCAAATATTTATATTCAATACTTTCTATCTTTTGCCATGAAGATAAACATTTAATAAATATTTGGAACACATAATAAGTCTTTGAAACATTCATACTTGAGTAAATTCTAAAAATGTTTAACAAAGAAGTAATATCAAATGTAAAAAGCTACTTGAACAAGGCTACTGTAGTATTAGTAGTAAAATGCCAATGCCACAAGTGCCCAGGAGTAGTAAAAGAATGACAGCACGTAACAATTCAGTGGTCACAAAGAGAAGTTTTTGAGTAAAAAAAAAAAAGGAAAGCAATATGGAAAATTCATGTTTACAGCACAACTTTAAGTACGGAAAGGAAAAAAACCTGCAGCAATATACCAAAAGTAAGAAAGGCATCAGTAGTTCACTACTAAGAAGGCTGAGATCTAAGGACTGCAGTTCAAAGCCAGCCTGGACGGAAAACCCCACGAGACTCATATCTCCAATGAATCACCAAAAAGCCAGAAGTAGTGCTGTGGCTCAAGTGGTAGAGCACTAGCCTTGAGCAAAAAAGCTCAGGGATAGTGCCTAGGCCCTGAGTTCAAGCCCATGGACCAGCACACACAAAAAAGTACCTATGTATATGTGTGTATGTATATAAAGAGAGGGTTGTTGTCTTTGACTTTAGGACTATATTGTCTTTCTGTATTTCCTACAATTTCTCTCAGTTGAGTATATATACCTTTTGCAAAACAGTCACTAAATTCTGGTGAGATGAACTACAATGGTAAATGAGAAACATGATATACTTTCTACATATTAATAATTCATTTTTTCAGTTTAACTACACAAGGTATCACACATAGCCAAGATGAACAATTAACCATAACCAGCTACAACCTTTAGAAGACATATACTTTTCCTCTGCCAGTGTTCATTATCAAATATTCCAATTCAGTACGTCACCCCACTCTGTTCCCTGAGGGTATCTTGGAACTGCCAGAAAGCCACACACCCTTAATCAGCCTAGAGGATGTTGCAAATGCTCACTTGAAACATTTTTCAGCCAAGGCACGTTTAGGGCTACAGTGGATATAAAATTGTTTCTTGGGAAAACCCTTGCTTTGTCTACATTTATCCCTGTCACATACTTCTTGGTTGATGGAGTGCAGACTTTTCATCAGGGTAAGAATACTGGCTAGGTGCAAAAGTGCTGGGTAGGATACGCTAGTGTAAAAAACACTTCTGGCACTTTCCCCCACCATCAACATAACAGAACATCACGCACTCTCAACACTGCCAAAAAGGGCGCTTCCAACTGATCACTTCCCAGTTCTTGTCAAAAGCCAAGAGGAGATAAAATGTGTTTGTTAGAAAATACAGCCTAAGGGATGATGTGTCCATCGACTCGTCTGCAAATGGTAACTTCTAGTCTTGTAATGTCAGTGGAAGGCCATGTTGTTGAGCCATATAACTAAAAGGAGCACCTCACTGTTCATCAACACTGGTAAAAACTTCTTTTTGAAGGCCCTTGGTTCCTTTTTTTTTTCAATGATATTAGGAAATATGAATGTTAGTTACATTCATCGTTGTCTGGAGTATATGATAAACCTATTGAGACATCTGCTTTGGAATCTGAAACTAAAGGAACTCTCCTCCCTCTCCCCCCATCCCATGTTTTGTTTTCTTCTGCGGCTGTGGTAGATCAACTTCTCATGTTTGCTGAAGCTGAGCTGTAAGGAATTTATATCCTATCAGAAACAGTTGCCTCCTAATTACCACAATGGCAAAAAGTGGTTTCATTTTCAATGCCAGTTGGTTGATTTCTTTTTAGGCCTTCAAAAGCCAAAGAAAAATACTGGGCACTGGTGGCTCACAGCTGTCATTCCTAGCTACTCAGAAAGCTGAGATCTGAGAATCATGGTTCACAACCAGCCCGGGCAGGATATACAGTGCTTTAAAAAGTCTGTGTTGACACTGACACTGCTACACATGCTGTATTTATGTCTCTCCTGGCTCAGAAGGTAAGACATTTTCACTACTTAGGCACAGAACTACTAGTATTTTTTTTAATTCATACAATGACTAAATGACACATATCCATCCAGTAAACCATTATGTGGTTTTTTTTTTTTTGGGTCCGGTCGTGGGGCCTGAACTCTGGGCCTGGGCGCTGTCCCTTAGCTCTTCAGCTCAAGGCTAGTGCTCTACCACTTGAGCCATAGTGCCACTTCCGGCTTTTTTCTTTTTACTTATGTGGTGCTGAGGAATTGAACCCAGGGCCTCTGGCATGCAAGGCATACGCTCTACCACTGAGCCACCTTCCCAGCCCCATTATGTGTTTTTTAAATGGAGACAGATTTAGTTATTGACATGAAAACCTAGACAAATTGTTTTATCAAGAAGCATGCTAGCTTTGTTAATAAATGAAACTAGGGGTTACTCAAGTGGTTTAGCACCAACGGTGAATGAAAATGCTAAGAGAATAAGGCTCTGAGTTCAAGCCCCAGTACTGCTCACACATGTATGTGCGCACACATGCGCATGCACATGTGCACAACTCATCTACACACACATAGAGCAAGCGAGGGAAAGGGGAAGAAAAGATAGACAGATTGACATCTAAACCTAGGTATCTTTTTTTTTGAGGGCGGGGAGGGCGGGGAGACAGGGGGAGCCTGACACTGGGACTGAACTTGGTACTGGATGATTCTGTTCACTGGCTAGTGCTCTACCAACTGAGCCATGCTTCAACCCCTAGACCTAGATTATAGACCTAAACATACATAAACACACACGCACTTATGTGAAATAAATATGGCAAAAATGCTAACCATCACTGCATCTAGTGTTTATTTTGGTTTTCGTGCTCTAAAGCTTAGTAGCACATATCTTTTAACCATTCTACTTTTAACCCTACCATTCTACTCTTTAAAAAAAAGAAATATGCCAGAAATATGTATCAGCTATCTCATCAAACCTTAGCTGGAATTATAGAAGTGGAGTGTTACATGCTACTTTTTATCCCTTCACTTGTAAACGGTACAATGAGAATGCATTTTACATTTATGTTCAGAAAAACAATATTAAAAACTTAAAAAACAGAAACGAGCTTCCATCTAGAACCTGCCACAGCACGGCGTTCTGTAAGGAAACAGCACAGAGGAATGCGGCACCCAGCATCCAGACGCCAGCGGCCTCTGCTCTCACCTGTGATGAAGACCTCGCAGCTTACAGCTCTCCGTGAGCATCATGGTCACCTGAATTTCGGAAGCCTGATCTACATAAAAAAGGAAATGGGTGGAGTGATAATACTATATACATAGGACCATATTTTCTACTGTTAAGACATAATTATCTTGGACTGTAAGCTAAATTCCCATTGAACGTTACAAGTAAATCTACATAGATCCAGCCTAAAGCTCAACTGCAGGAGTCTCATTGAAAATTAGAAATGGAGAAAGCTTCATAGGCAAAGGAGAAAAAAAGCAGTGATGGACCAGGAAATTATCTGTAACACTTAAACCATATAAAGGACTAATTTCCGTTTATCTCCTTGTTTAAAAAGAGCTAACACAAATCGGTATGGGGGGGGAAATGACATAGGTAGAGAGTGAAATCATATGGTTTACTGAGAAATGAAAATGCAAGAAACCAATACATTTGTAAAATCACTTCCAGCCTCACTCCTAAGTACAGGCATCCAAGTTACACTAGGAGGGCGCAAATTTAGCTGCCTGCCAGCCTGATTGAGAATGTGGAAATAGGCCCGTCAGCGGCGGCATGTTGGGGAGGTGGAGGAAGCAACATGCAACTAAAGCACACTCACATTCCCACCGGAATACTCTTAAAAAAGTATCCAACAACGGAGAACTACACTGGTGTAAGCCGGGCAGAGTAGCACACACCTGCATTTCCAGCACTCTAAAGGCTGAGGCAAGAGGATGCTAGTCTGGACTACATTGTGAGACTCTGTCTGAGCTAAGAAATATCAAACTTCATTTGTTTCCGAGTCTCTCGGAATTTCTTTTGGTGCTTCATCCCCTCTCTTCCATTAATCATCAGTATCCTCTCCCCTAAAACTTCTCTTAAAAAATTCTGTAGGAAAGCCGGGGCCCTGGTGGCTCACGCCTGTCATCCTAGTTACTCAGGAGGTTGAGATCTGAGTTTCGCAGTTCAAAGCCAGTCTGGGCAGGAGAGGCCGTTGAGACTTTTATCTCCAATAAACCACTAGAAAACCATTAGAAGTGGCGCTGTGGCTCAGGTGGTAGAGTGTTCACCCTGAGCTGAAGAGCTGAGGGACAGTGTCCAAGCCCAGAGTTCAAGCCCCATGACCAGAAAAAAAAAACACAAAAAACAAACAAACAAAAAACTTCCGCAGGAATGCAAAACGCATGAGTAGAAAGCCAAAGATTTGATCTGCTTGCTACTTTTTAGGAAAAGGAGTGCTCCACAACATCTGCTAAAATAGTAAAAACTGCTTAAGATTTGGGATCTTTTAGTAAATGTCAGAATGCACCTTTACTGCTCTTTGTATGATCTAAATAATTTTTAATGAAATTATGGTCACACTATTAGGGTCTGGGAGGATCTTCTGGAAGAATGAAAACTAGTTAATTGCTGGAGTTCCTTACCCAGTGACTGAGATCCTTACCTTCCTTTCAGCTGGTAAGGAGATCCAATACATGAGCAGGGATACCATTTTACATGTACTTTTCTTTGTGTTTTTTTCAAATCCTTAACTTTTCTAAGTACGGTCTATTAAAGAATGGACACTTGGCCAGCCACTGGTGGGCTCACGCCTGTAATCCTAGCTACCCAGGAGGCTGAGATGAGAGAATTATGATTCAAAGCCATCCTGGGCAGGAAAGCCTGTGAGACCCTTTATCTCCAATGAACCACCAAAAGGCTAGAAAAAGAGCTGTAGTTCAAGTGGCAGAATGCTAGCCTTGAGCAAAGAAGCTCAGGGACAGTGTCCAGGCCCTGAGTTCAAACCCCAGGACCTCCACAAAAAAAATCTTTTTTAAAAAAGGACCTTTGAATTAAAAATGACTTAAGAAAATTTTCAATGGGAGAAAAAAATAATTTTATTCATTTATTAAGAAAAAAACTTCCTGGATTTTTTTCTCTCAGTTTACTCCTTTGCCTTTTCTTAAAGTCTACTTTCAAGATATACACAATTGGAAGGAGTAGTATAATTTACATTCTAAAAATTACAGCAAAATGATTTTTTAAATTTTTTCCAAAATTGTAAAACTTTTGCAATTATTAAAGAAAATAAAAGATTAATGCCAGTAACTTTAAACTGACTCATTTATAATGGATATTTATAATGAATTTCCATTATCTCCGCATAAAATCTTGACTTTTTTTTTTAAAAAGCCAAACTTAATTTTCTGCATTTAAAAAGATTGATACTCTTCCAATTCTAATTGTGAAGCATGGGACAGAGCATATACAGAATAGTGAAGAAACCTTGTCCGCAATGTGTAGTTTCCATTTGAAAAATACATTCTGAAAGAATGAATCTCAAAGATATTCAATCATATTAAAGTATCTGATGATTCTGAGCCAAGTACCCTGGGTGCACTTCCTCTCTGTCCCATACAGAAACAATGACAATAACGTTGGCTAGGAACCCGCTGTGTTTTCATTTCCTCCCATTCTAATTTCAGTGGCCAGACAGAGAAACAACCAAAGGATTGTGACTCAAGTCTACATGGGAAGAGACATGGCATCTAGTAAAAGAGTCCCAGTATCCACATTGTGTGTTCGTATCGCTATTATTTCCTTTTCTCCCCCTATCCAGACTTAACCTAATTCTTCTTTATGAAAATCACTTTGGTTAATAAGTCAAGACTCACTGCAATTCACAGAATAGTTGCAAACACAGAAGACTTTGGAGAAATGTTTCCTTTAAAAAAAAAAAAGGTAAAACAAAAAAGTTGTTTTATATTTAAACTTATGGTTCAAAGTTTACATTTACAGAGTAATTGTAAACTACTGTCCAGAAAACCTACTAGGATTTACCTTATACATTTAAGAATGTTTTGGGAGCTGGAAAGAATGGGTTAACAAAACAAATACTATGAGCCACCAGTGCCCGGCTCTTTTTTTTTTAAAGACACATAGTTCTTATAAAAGTAATTTGGCATCTAAAATTTTGTCACCTCATAAAATGTAATTTGATCCTTCTCTCATGTTCTACACTTAAAGTGCTAAATTTATTTTTCAGAAATTAGTGTCTTCTTATTTAAATATATATCAGGAACTGACAAGACATTTAGCACCCTATATGTTACCACATTTTCTTATCAAACTAAGCAAAAAACAAAAACAAAAAGCCTAAAGACGCAACTCTGAAGAGAGCATTTGATTAATATGCATGAGGTCTGGAAATGCCTGAAATCCAAACCTGGCACCAATAAGACAGGAAGAAGAGTACAAGGAAGGGGACAGGAGGGAAGAAGAAAAGGAGGATGAAGCTTTTATGAATGCCAGTTTTAAGTAACTAAAGTCCTAACATTTTTAAAAGTCTATTTTACCAGAATTAGGTAATAAGCTATACACAAATAATACTGCATAACTGACAGGAAATCTGAGTTATTTATGTAAATTAATAAAAACTTAGGTGTCACATTCCAAAATATAATCCAAAAGGAGATTATGTGAAAAAGAATATTCTGCTCATGAAAATTAGATAGTGCTTAGAGAACAATTATACTTAGAGAGCAATATAGTAATATTTATCAAAGTTTCAGATGTACACATCCCTTGGACCAACAAGTTGGACTAATATTGAATAGATATTTAATGTCTTAATTTATAAACCTTCTATTTTCTAAGCCTAGCTTCTCAAAAGATAGCCTCATGTGAGCTAAATTAGCATGGACTATAAAAGGTCTGGCACATACTAGGAAACTGGGACAGAATTTTGTTGGCATGTGTCAAATTTCAGGAAAGCATTAAATAGTATGGAGGGAAAAATTCCTACCTTTAACTGTTTTTACAAATGTTTGTTTTCCTTTATGTGGATCTTTTTCATCTACTAAAATCCCATGGAAAATACGGCCAAAAGTACCTAAAAGGAAAGAAGTATTCTATGAGATTATATGAAATCTTCATAGTTATAACTTTCTGGTATAATTAACTTCAACACAGGGCAACACAAGGACATTTATTATCAACAATATTGTTCTAGCCCTAGAGTAAAATGACCCAGATCATTGTTATTAAATGACTGTAAGAGAGGTTCTTTGAAACTATAAAGTATCTTAACTTGTTTTTTCACACACCATATCTAAAATAAGTATACGGGAGCACTGGAGCTTGGTGAGGGTCTATCGATACGCGTTATTATTTATGAGTTTCTGAGATCAGCCTCAGAGCAACAATGAAAGGAGAAAAGCCGACTCTCTCTGCTGCTGCACAGATTTAAAAGGAGACTCGAAGGGGAGTATCAAAGGGCACAGATTTTTTTTTTTTCAAATGAATGATTGCTTATTGAGTGAACTCATGTGGTTATTTCTGGTTTATATTCATTTTAAGAAAGATAAATATATTAAAGAGTCATATGTATCTTACTATGTACTATAACATAGTTAAATATTTTGCTGTCATTGTAATAGAGTTCATAGCATAATTTTTTTTTTTTTGGTCGGTCGTGGGGCTTGAACTCTGGGTCTGGGTGCTGTCCCTCAGCTCTTCAACTCAAGGCAAGTGCTCTACCTCTTGAGCCACAGCGCCACTTCCAAAGGGCACAGATCTTAGACAAAGCTAATCTGGGCTCCATCCTTCAAACACTCACTATTTAGAGGGTCTTACATAAGTTGCTTAGATGCTCAAGTCATTGGTAAAATGTATTTTTAAAAACTAATAGTACGAAGAAACCTTTGGGATGGGAAGGGGGGTGGCTAAAATGAACTTTGAATGTAAGAAGGACACTGTTAGCAAGAAGCATCCTAGTGATAGTTCTAGCACAGGATCACAATAGCTCAATAGCTATGTATAGATGACCTTATAAAATGATGCTAACTGAAATGAACTACAAAATATGGAAACAAGTTTTGTTTCTTTTTCTTAGTGTACTGTATGAAGTTATTTTTCTTTTGTTTTTCCCCTTTTGGCTTACTCCCTGATATCACTGTTGTTGTTATTAATTTCAGTACCCAAATGGGAAGGGGAAATCACATAACTGGTGAAACAAAGGACAAAGGGTGAACCATTGCAACAGTGATACTCACAAGACACTGTGTTGGAAATGAACTTTACCATGTATAGGACAGGGGAGTTGGGGGGAGGGGTAACAGGAGAAAACGAGGGAGGGGGTAACAGTGAGTACAAGAATTGCACTCATTTCCTTACCTATGTAACTGTAACCCATCTGTACATTACCTTTACAATAAAAAAGTTACACCTTGTAAAAAGTAATAAATAAAAAACACATTTTGCATTTAAAAAAAGAAAAAGCTAGTGAGAACACAAGGCCCTTAGTTCAAGGCCCATTAAAAAAAAAAAAAAAGAAGCATCCTAGCCAAGTGCTATGATCCACACTTGTGATCCTACATACTCAGGAGGCTGAGGAGTGAGGACTGAGGTTCAAAACCAGGCAGGAAAGGCTGTGAGACTCTATGTTTCCAATTAACCACCTAAAAACTGGAAGTGAAGCTGTGGCTCAAAGGGGTAGAGCACTCACCTCGAGCAAAAAAACAGGGACAGTACACAGGCCCTGAGTTCAAGCTCTGGGACCAAAAAAGAAGTTAATTAGTCATGTTGTCTTCTCTCAGATCAAGAGGTTTAAAATAAACTATGACACCTCTGAGACATGAAGGAAAACTCCACGTGATTTCCAACTTCCTCTTTTCCTTAAATGATACCACTACAACTGATTACTTATTCTATACTGTTTATAGAGACAAAAAGAAACTGCAAGCATACATCATTGGGCTCTCAATCTTTTAACTCATTAGGAGATGTTAACACGTCTACTTACTCTCTTGAGGGCAGGTCTATAAACTAGTTGTTAATAAAGTTTTATGTTAATAAAGCCTATAAAATATAGTATTCATAGCTGAAAAACAAACAAGAAAAAAATCTGCTTCCATTATTTACTACTTGCCATTGAGAGTAGTTTAATTTCCTTACTACCTGTGATTGACCTAACCAATAGATGAATACAGGAAAAGTATGTATCCACAACATTCCAAAATAGAAAAGTGTAAAAAAGTTATTCTTGCCCAGCGCCAGTGGCACACGCCTGTCATCCTAGCTACTCAGGAGGCTGAGATCAAAGCCAGCCCAGACAGGATAGTCCATGAGACTCTTATCTCCAATAAACCACTAGAAAACCAGAGGTGGAGCAGTAGCTCAAGTTGTAGAGTGCTAGCCTTGAGCTGAAGAGCGCAGGGATAGCACCCAAGCCCAGAATTCAAGCCCTATGACTGACAAAAAAAAAGTAATTCTCAAATCTCCCTCATCAATATCCTAAAACTGAAAAAAGAAGTGAGGACCAGCAAGAGGGAAAGGAAAGGCTACTGATACTATTAGCTGTTAATACATGTCATGAACATCATTTCATCTAATCTTTTTTTGGGGGGCGGGGGGGATGTCCGGTTGTGGGGCCTGAACTCTGGGCCTGGGCACTGTCCCTCAGCTCTTCAGCTCAAGGCTAGCGCTCTACCACTTGAGCCACAGCGCCACTTCCGGCTTTTTTCTTTTTGTTTAATGTGGTGCTGAGGAATCGAACCCTGGGCCTCATGCATGCAATGCAAGCACTCTACCACTGAGCCACCTTCCCAGCCCCTTGTCTAATCTTTATAATTAGTCTTAAGACTCAAAAACACTACTACTTAACCACAACACTCTCTACATTTTCAGAACAGGAAACTGAAGATCTTAGATGTCACATGATTTCTCATAGGTCATACAGAGTAATAAATCCTGGGAGAATTTGAATCTTAACTTCATTCTACTCCATTTGCTACAATCCACATATTGTATCACAAAGAAAAGACTTGGAGTACAGTATTTCAAAGCGGCCTGCTAGGAAATGATGACTTTAGTTAGACTAAAACACAAAATCTACCTTAAAGTTAACAAACACTTACGGATTCTGTGTACACTTGAAAATTAAGAATTGCACCAAAGCTGTATAAAGTACATTAAAATCTAAAAAAGGGGAAACCAGAAGTAATTTTTTCAAAACCAACATTCAGACAATAAATACCTTCTTGGAGTACGTCTTTTAGAGTTATCCTCTCCCTAGATATTGCTATATCCTTCACCTTGGCTTTGGCCTCCAACAGAGTGACACTTCTCAAGTCGTTCTTCTCTATCCGCAAGGTAGGATAACCTGAGGAGCCAACAAAGCCAGACCAAGCAATATAAATACCCTTATTATGGTATTGGGGTCAACTAGTTCAGTTATTTTCCTCCAAACATCTCATATTAAAGCATGCGAAAACACACATCAAAAATCTGTCCATAAAAAGGAAATTAAGCCAGGTACTGGTGGCTCACACCTATAAACCTAGCTATTCAGGAGGCTAAGATCTGAGATTGTGGCTAAAAGCCAGCCTGGGCAGAAAAGTCCCCGTGAGACTCATCTCCAATTAACCACTCAAAAACTGGAAGTGGTGCTATGGCTTGAAGTGGTAGAGTACTTGCCTTGAGCAAAAAGATCTCAGGGAAAGTGCCTAGGCCCTGATTTCAAGCCCTACAAGTGACAAAAAAAAAGTGGGGGGAAGTGAGGAATAGTGGCTTGAGATATACTTGGTGGTAAAATGACTAACTAGCATGCCATGAGGTCCTGGGTTTGATCTCCAGTATTGCTGGGGTAAGGGGTAGAATTAGACCCCTAGCAAGCATTCTATTATAATTAGAAAACCGTTTAAAAGTCTGGGGGTATGGCTCATAGTACAGTGCATGCTTATCATGTTGGAGACCATATGTTCAATCCCCAGCACCATACAAAAATGATGTAAATAATGTAAATAAAATCTTTACATACCCATAAGACCATCAAACAATTCATAAAAATTCAAACTGTTTTGGTAGCTCAAACGCATACTGAAAATCTTTAGCATACATCTCTACAGAAGTGACTTAGTAGCTATTTTAATATAATTAATGAAATTGCCCCAAAGCAAAACTAGTTCTGGCAACTCATCTCAAATTTTACTTTCAAGACCCGAATTTCATTCAATGCTGTAGAAACAAAGGCCAAAGATCAGATCTCATTTGGCACAAATCATGTTAGTGGCATGGTGTACGTGTTTCACTAGTACAGTAACCATAGGGGACCACCGACAGACCACGGAAAACGGCATTAGAATTAAATTAACTCTTACTGGTGATAGGAGTTGCATTGTTGGGTGTGTCGGCCCTCAGATATTGAGTCGTCTGGGTGGAAGGCTGAGACAGCCCTTGGGAACTACTGCTGGCACTGATGCTGAAAACATTTTTAGGAGACAAATATGTGACAGGTGAGTTTCACAAGAAATTTCTTGTCCTAAAAACGCAAGTAGCTTTATAGCCTGCCTAAAACCCTAAAGGAGATCACAGTAATGCACAAAAATCACAGATTCCTTATTGAAAATTTCATTCACATTGTAAGATAGAACTCTATTTCTACCTTTAAAAATCAACATGCATTCCCTTATTTGCAATAACTAGTATATGTCTGAGTCAAGCAGAAAAGGTCAGATAAGTTGATATTAGGGAAATGAACCCTAAGATATGTATTCAAATGTTTTTTTCTTTCATGCGATTGTTTCTAGCACATTTATACATGCAGGTTCACCTGGGCGAAGTTATTCAGAAATGCAAGTACCAGTTCTCAGACCTCACAATAAGGATATGCTATCCCTGAACCTCACATAGGGTATGCTGAATGAAGAAATGTGGCCCACCATTCAAGGAAAGAGCCATTTAATTAGATTGTTTGTGTTCATAAAAGGAGCAAAATGAAGGGCTTTTAATGATGGCTGTGAATCAAATGGCCTACAGATGAGAAAATAATCAAACCAAATCAATGTGCCAACATGCTCAAAGCTTGGGAAGAAGTATCCTATCCAGTTCAAGCTTGTTTAATCACAATTCCCAATTCCCCAATGGCACTTTTTTAAAAGAATTTACAGATGTTCCCAGAAGTCTCCGGTATGGAACAGTAAATAATGTTATATACTCTAAGCTAAGAGATCCAGAAAATGGGAGACACATGTAATTGTTAATCCTGTGTTTGAGTGTTACAAATGTTCCCAAACATTCCCCCCCCCAACACACACACAAACACATGCACACACATTGGGTAACAAACTTGACCTACAGAGATCACCCTTGGGCACATTCCAGTCTCATGTCTTAGCCCTTCCTATTTTGCAGCAAGTTAACCTTACGAAGTGAGCTTGAAGAGTGAGAACAGATGGCAGGATAGCCTTCCATGCCTTTTAGGTATACAATTAGTGAAGTCCAATCAGAGGGTCCAACTTTCCTAAGTATGCAGAATTGTTTAACCTACTTGTCTACACCTATCTCTGTATTTTCAAAGACTGGTGACTTTAAAACATATAATGACTATATATTCTGCAACAATTCTCCACGAATTTTTATTTTTTTCATTTCAGAAGTCCATACATATATTTAAAAATGAAAATATGTAACATGAATGCAATAAGCACTGTAAACCCCTATGTAGCCCCCCCTGATTTTTTGATCACTAATAAACAACCTACTATTATTTGCTGTAACTAAAACACTTCTGAAAAGTTAAGGATGCCCACCAATAAAAACTGCTTTCCTACCTACTTTGCTAAAGATATTTTGCATCTCAAGGATTCATCATGCCACCGTGTGGTCAGTCCTGGAAGAATTTTTAAGGGTGGAGGTTATTCAAGAACGGATCTACATGAGTCTACAGGTGTAGTTGGTATGATAAAGAGATAGCATAGGTGTTGAAATCATGAGCTAGGCAAAACTATTCAGTCCTTCTGGAGTCCCAAACTCCTCATAAATAAGATACTGCTACCCCATGACCAAACTGCTAACAGGGGTACAAGAAAGACGAATAAGTAAAGCATGCTCACACTGCCTGGCCCTCATACTACTAGTTGCTTTTATTATTATGAACATGACGCACCCTGATCCTTAGAATAAGGAACTACAGGGCTACAGAAAGTGCAGATCTGAGAACTACTCAAGCGTCTGACTAGAAATTATTGACTTGTATCATAAAATGGGATTAAAAAAATCTACCTCACAACATTCTGTGAGGCTCAAATTTATAATGTATGCGAAAGCACAACTTAGGTACTACTACCGGCAAACATCACCGATTGCTAAATAAACATGGACTCCCATTTCTCCCCTTCAACTAAACAGCAGGTGGCACTTTCATGCCTCTTCAGAAGTTCTGAGAGGTTGTGGAACTGAAGTGTTACTGGCTAGCTGTGTCAGTTGTTCACTTGCTTACCAGGTCACTGAGTGGAGGGAGGAGCTGGAAAGCAGTAAGTGACGCAGGACGCTAGGTAGAAAGAACCTGTGTTGACTATGACAGGCAGCGGGGGCGATGGGGGACCTGCCTGATTTTCATAGCTGAGCCACTGTAGGATCAATGTATCTGCCAACTATGGTATGAAACCCTACATTTGTTTTTTGGCAGGAAGAAAAATTCATTATGTAGATATTAACTCTGCTGTAGAATGAAGTTACGGCTTTAAGGAGGACATTATAACCTTCCATGCCTGCTAGGTATGCTTTGCAAATGAGAACTGAGACAAAGAAAGGCTACATAACTCACTCAAGGCGGTAACACAAAGAAGTTTTACAGACATACTTCAGAATGGCTTAGCTTCAGAGGCTCTCCTGTTAACTACTGGGCTGTGCTCTGAAAATATTGTTGCTCTTACTCAAATAACATCTAAAAAACATAGAGAGAAATGGAATACTGATTTAGGAGTGGGAACTATTTCACTGTATGCCCAAAAGGATCTAAAAGTATGGCACAAACCTGGTCTATGTGAGTTCACAGCCCTAACACACACACACACACACACACACAAACATTCAAGGAAAATATGACTTTATATATGGAGACTTGAATGCTGGAAGTGGTGCTGTGGCTTTAAGTGGCAGAGTGCTAGCCTTGAGCAAAAGAGCTCAGGGACAGCACCCATGACTGATCAAAACAAACAAACAAACAAACAGACTTGAATGCCACATCCTTAGGTAACCCCCGTAGCACTACTTATAATCCTATACAAAATATTATTTACTGTTTTTATTCTTTTGAATGCTTCCAAATGCCATTTCTTTCTCTGTAAAGTCTTACTCCAAGACTACTATGTACATAAATCAAATTCTGAAACTTATCATCAATATGCTTCTAATCTTATTCACATCTTCTGTCTACTCAAGAAAAGGAAAGGAATATAATGGAGAAAGAAAATATTTAAAGGTAGGAACTGAGTCAGACTAACTCTGGCTTTTTGGGTTCCTGTTTATGTCCCCTATCCAAACTATCTCCACAGTGTATTAAGATTGGGAGATTCAGCCATGAATAATCCTGATTGTAAAAAAGTGCATTCTAGTGGAGGGTGGGTGAGGGGAAGGCACGTAAGACAAGTACAATGAACAACTGCAGAAGGAAGAAGTAAAATAATCCCACTGAGATGGACATATAGACACAGAAAGAAGAGACAGGGATAGTAGGGAGGCTTAGAAAAGACTTCATTAATAAGATAGCAATGGAGTTCAAGTATGAAGAACAGGCAGACTGTGGGGGTGGGGGGAGAATTTAAAGAGACAATAAGAAGGTAAGAAAAGGTTCAAAGGGTTAAAGCCAAATCATGAAGCTAGGAATATATCAGTCAGAATATGTCTCAGTTGAGAATCGCTGGGTGTCATTAGGAATGGGAAAGAGAACTGTGGGTTTGTGAAAAAAAGTCTACAATTCCATCTTACATGCTGGTCTCCTCATCAGCTTGGCCCTACCCAGGCTGGGTCAATCACCTTCTGTGTTCCCAGGCTACAGTACTACAATCATCCATTTTATATACTTTTATAATTATGAGCCAGTGTCAAAGATTAACTACTTGACACTGTTAACAGTATATCATATCTTCTCAATCCAGCGTAATATCTAACCCAGGGTTTCTCACACTGAAGGTACATTAGAACCATTCAGGAAGCTTTAAGAAAACCACTCAGATACAACCCTATACCAATGAACATCAGAATCTCTGGAAGGTGAAGCCTATGTACTGGTAAGTTTTAAAAGGTTCTCTCTGATATGCACAGCAGACACTCAATCAAGTATTTCATTTGTGGATGGGTGGATAGGAAATGATGGAAGGAGGAACTAGAAGGAAGAAGCAGGGCAATTTTAAAGGCAACGGGAATCTGGAGAAGTCATGGCAATGGGGACAGAAAACCACTTGGATTTCTACGAGAATTCTTCTCAATAAGTAATAAGCTATAATTGGTGACTACCCAAATTTTAAGAGGTGCAAGACAGTGATCAGGATAAATTATTTTTCTGTTAGCTAGGGCTAACAAACCCTTGTACCATTGTGGCTGGATACATGTGAACCTTCCACATATGTATATATCTACTTTTATTTTTTTCCTTTCCAAAAAAGGTACAGTACCTGTCATCCAGTTCAATCCTTTTCATACTATGAAGGTGCAAAACGGCTAAAATTATTGCTACAAGAAATATTACTGCACAACAAACCCCTACACTAATGTAAAACACACGTGTAGAAGTGGTTGGAGCTGCATGTACAGGATCATCTGAAAAAAAAAAAGTAATTTAAACTTTTTAAACAAAGGACTGTTTAGTGATCTAATATACACAGTGAGTAACATGTTCTTTGTAAAATTCCACTTCATGCATTCTTTCTTTGATTTCTATCAGTTACCGTTTGTGTGCTGGTATATGCTCACACATTTTTTGATGTTTTGCTATAGTCATAAAAAAGATTTTAAATGAAACTTCTGGTTAATAACAGATACACACAAGTGGTGTACCTAAAATATACCTGGGCATAAAACCATACTGCGGCACTGCTGTCTTAAGAGTTTTCTGAGTCCAAGGAATGTTCTACAGTGTACTGACTGACACAGTGGCTTCTGGCCATGCTGGCAATATATCACTAAAATGTGAATCACCAGAGGGAGGATTTAATTTTATTTCACTTAAAAGTATAAAATCATATATGATTTATAGTCACCCTGCTAGTAAGCAGGGCAATATTTTGCTGATCTACTTTTAAAGACCTTACTGATTCAATAAAATTATATTATTTTAAAAGAGACCAGGAAAATGATTACGTTTAAGGCCAGCCGGAGCTACACAGCAAGATACCGTCTCAAGAAACCCGAAAGGCAAACTGAAAACCAACACACGGAGACCAACACATGGAGACCAAGCTACATTCTGACAAAGGAGTAAAGATGTGTGACAAAGCAGAACTAGAATGACCAGAGAGATTTGTGTAAATTACATTAATGGATGCTCACATAATTCCACTGAATAAAACCTGAGGAATTTGGAGTCTATCCTAAGTGAGATGAGGAAGCACTGCAAAGTGTCAAGCAAAGGAATGACACATTGGTCACTTACAAAAGTGATACCTGCATGCTGGGTGAAGAATGCTGTATAGAGGAGCAAGAGAAGAAAACAGGGAAAAGTTAGTGGGCTACTAGGATAGCCCAAGAAAGGGACGGCAGTGGCTCAGCTGAGTGCATAGAAAATAAATGGGCTTGGAAGCAGAGTTGACAGACCTTACTAGCAGACTTTACTGGTGGGAAAAAAGAGGCATCAAAGTTTTGGATTAGGAGCTGGGAAGGTGGCTCAGTGGTAGAGTGCTTGCCTTATATGCTTGAGGCCCTGGGTTCAATTCCTCAGCACCACATAAGTAGAAAACGCTGGAAGTGGCACTGTGGCTCAAGTGGTAGAGTACTAGCCTTAAGCAAAAAGGAGATCAGGGACAATGTCCAGGCCCTGAGTTCAAGCCCCAGGAATGGAGAGGGCGGGGGGAAGAAATGATATCCTACTAGCATTAAAAAAAAAAAAAAAGTAAGACTATCAGAATTTTAAAATGCCACTGGACATACTGACATTGTAAAGAAGTTTTCTCTTCCTTTTCAGAGATATTCTATACCAAGTTGTCAATTTCTCATATTATTTTACCTTCCACAAAGGTCTACTTTGGGATATTCAGATGCTTTGTGCTCCTTGGGAGATAAAGGGATAAAACAGAAAGCACACAGAATCACCCAAGAATTATTCTTTCCAAAAGAGTTGGCCCTGAGTCTAATCAAATGCAAACTCCAAGAACAGTTACCAGAAAGAGAAAAGCAGGTTAAACAACCCTAGCAGGATGTAGAAGGTGGGAAATTCTTCAGGACAAAATGACATAATTTTATCGATTATAAAGGGGAGAGGTTTTTTTTTTTAAATCAATATACATCAAGCAAATACAGTGAGTACAGGCTTCCACTGGATCCCAACTTGTACAAGAAATTATAAAAAGATGTTTTCTACACAATCAGGTTAATATAAATATGAACAGCTATCAGATGATACTAAGGAATTACTGTTAATTCTGCTATCTGTGATAAATCAAAATGAGTATATGTTGGATAACTGTAGGATGTGAGTGATTACTTAAGATACTTTAAAAGAGATTAACATTGAGCTGGGTGCCAGTGGCTCATACATACCTATAATAATCCTAGCTATTCAAGAAGCTGAGATCTGATGATCAAGGTTCAAAGCCAGTCAAGACAGGAAAGTCCACAAGACTCTTATCTCTTACTAACTACCCAACAAGCTGGGAGTGGAGTTGTGGCTCAAGTGGTAGAGTGCTAGACTTAAGCAAAAAAAACTTAGGAACGGTGTCTAGGCCCTGAGTTCAAGCCCCAAGCCCAGCACACAAGGAATAATAATAATAATAAGTTGGCTACAAGAAATTGGCTAAGGATTTAGGTCCAAAGCTTCTAAAAGGTTTCAGCTTATTATAAAACATATGAATTTACTTCTAAAAATATTCAAAACTCAAAATTTCACTTAACCTATACTAAATTATAATATAGCAGTGAAATAAACAATAAGGTGCTATAATCATTTGACCAAGTAGAAAACCTAAGGCTTCCAAGCTCAATCTAATCATGCTCACAGGCAATCAACCATTTTTCACCCCCAATAATGAAGAAAGAGAATACAGTGAACTTACAAATAGTTCTGCTAGTGTTTTTGTCCAATGCTGAAGTTTTTACTTCTTCAAGTTCTGTATTAAAAGGGGGAGGAAAAAAAATTAGAAATTCTTTTGCATTGAAATCTTTAAGTACTATAATATTTTCTCAATTTTGTCTAACGTTGTTTTGAGTGCTATAAGAACACTTCCTGGGCTGGGAAGGTGGCTCAGTGGTAGACCGCTTGCCTAGCATGCATGAGGCCCTGGGTTCGATTCCTTAGCACCACATAAGCAAAAAGAAAAAAGCCGGAAGTGGAGCTGTGGCTCAAATGGTAGAGTGCTAACCTTGAGCTGAAGAGCTGAGGGACAGCGCCCAGGCCCAGGGTTCAGGCCCCACGACCAGACCAAAAAAAAAAAAAAAAGATTGTAAAAAGAACACTTCCTAAACTAAGTAACAAGTTATTTGTTGCAGGACCATGAAAACTATTATTCTAATACTCACCAGTACAATCAATAAGCAGTCTATACCAGTGTTAGACAAAGGGAGTTATTTAAATACTCAATGAAAAAGGGTTTCTGTGGTGAAGAAGTATGGGAAAGTCCACATACTACATTGTCTTTATAGAGGTTCACGAGGCACATTAGCAGAATGCAAGGTTCAACAGAGTCCTAGAGTAACAAAACTTGCCTAAACCCACAATTCCCTCCCCATACAACAACAGCCTATAATAGCACAAATACGTTTCCTATTGCAGACAGCTCTTTAAATGTAGTAAGCCATAGGGGAAAAACAAAGGGGGGGTAACAATGCTCGATAGGAAATCGACTCAGTACCTTGCTCATGTAACTGTAACCCCTCTGTAGAATATTTTTACAATAAAAACATATATGTTAAAAAATAAAAATAAAAAAATAAATGTAGTAGGCTGGTAAAGAAATAGTTAGGATCACATATAACAAACTAGATGATTAGAGTAACCAATTATATGAGTACCCAAAGAGAGAGTTAATACTAATACTAAATTTAAATGAAGCCAGGAGCTGGTGGTTCATGCCTGTAATCCTAACTACTCTAAGGATCATGGTTTAAAGTCAGGCAGGGAAGGAAAGTCCGTAAGATTCTCATCTCCAATTAACCACCAGAAAACTGGGGCACTGTGGCTCAAGTGGCAGAGCACTAGCCTTGAGCTGAAGAGCTGAGGGAAAGCGCCAAGGGGGAAAAATACACACACACACACACACACACACACACACACACACACTCACACACTCACACACACACACCAGAGAATTTTAATGTTAGCTTTCATGTACATATTGAAGCAAATTGAGAAGGTATGCATCATTCTACTTATCATTATGTTAACTTGAGCAGACAGCAGCAGTGGGAAATCCACAGAATACAGGCCACATTTTGGCCAGCACTCTGCTGTTAAGAGCAGCAGAGCATCACAGTGTCATCTACTACCCACTCCCATCTACATAAAATATTTTGTTAAAACAGGTTCCTTACTTTTATAGCACATTTTCCTCCGTTTAAAGTTTAAGACTGTAAAATTTTTTGAAGAATTTACTGTCAAGTTGAGCTGCATTAGTATCATAACTTCAGAATCTACTTTGCCAGTACAGGAAAGCTCGACCCGAAACACTGTTTAAAAGAGAGAAAAAAAATTTTAATTTTCTAAAAATCAACATTAATGCTCCCAAATATCAATAAAAGATAGTTTAAAACTATTTCCAATAAGAAATACATTTAAATAAATTAAAAAGAAGCTATCAGAGAATATACTTTCAGACCACGATAGCTCTAAATGTAAGTATTTTCGTCTTTTTTTTTTTTTGGTCAGTCGTGGAGCCTGAACTCTGGGCCTGGGCGCTGTCCCTCAGCTCTTCAGCTCAAGGCTAGCGCTCTACCACTTGGGCCACGGCGCCACTTCTGGCTTTTTCTGCTTATGTGGTGCCTCATGCATGCAAGGCAAGCCTCCACTGAGCCACCTTCCCAGCCCAGTATTTTATTCTTTACAAGGCTGGGTACAGTGGCTCATGCCTGTAATTCTAGCTACTCAAGAGGTATAAATTGGGAGATTACACAAAACCTTGGTCTTAACCAATAAAAGCTTGGTGTGATGGCATACATGTCATTCCCCATGGGAAGCATAAATAAGAAGGATGATAGCCCAGCTGACTAGGGAATAGAATATGAGACCCTATCCCCAAAATAACCAAAATATGGGGCTGGGAAAGTGGCTTAGTGGTAGAATGCTTGTCTACCATGCATGAAGCTTTGGGTTCAATTCCTCAGTACCACATACACAGAAAAGGCCAGAAGTAGTGCTGTATGGTAGAGTGTTAGCCTTGAGCAAAAGAAGTTCAGGAACAGTGTCCAGGCCCTGAGTTCAAGCCCCAAGACTGGCAAAAAAAAAAAAAAAACAAAGAACTGGGGGTATGGCTCAAATAGTTGAGTACCTGCCTAGCAAGTAAAAGGCACCCCCCAAAAAAAAAAGTGAAACAAAAAATTCATTCATATAGGAACAAAAGAGTACTGAAGAACAGACATAAATGAACAATTATCTTCAACTTTTGCTCATGAGTTTTATTATATCCCTTTCTCTTATAAATCCTGTTACTCCAGAGTTTTACTATATCCCTTTTTCTTATAAATCCTGTTTCTCCAATGTACTAAAGCTACAGAATAAGGCTGAACCTACTGACTTTACCAGCCACAATTTCAACAATAACAAAAATCACATAATATAAAAGGAAAGACAACTCAGTATCAGAAGGCAATTATTAATTGTTATTAAGTCTTCTAGTTAAGTCATTTAAAAATGTAAATACTGAGCTGAGCTGGGCCCTGGCGGCTCATACCTGCAATCCTAGCTACCCAAGAGGGCTGAAATATAAGGATCATGGTTTAAAGTTAGTCTTGGCAGCAAAGTCCATGAGACGTTTATCTCCAATTAACCACCAAAAAGTGAAGCTGTGGTCTAAGTGGTAAAGCATTAAACCCTTGAACAAAAAAGCTCAGAAGTAGTGCCCAGGCCCTGAGTTTAAGCCCCAGAACCAGCACATTTTAACTGTATTTTTTTTTGTCTTTTCTTTTTTGGTACTGGGGATCAAACTCAGGATGTTGCGCTTGCTAGGCAAGCGCTTTGCCACTGAGCTACATCCCAGCCCGAACCAGCACATTTAAAAAAAAAATGTAAATACTATAAAAAAAAAAGCATTAATAGCATCATTATTATGTACTGTGTTATGTGGAGTAAACATGGGACACCAAGAACAAAATATACCACCATTCTTAAGTAGGGATAATCTTTCCAGGTCAAACTTGGCTTCAGAAAAGAAGAGAACTGGGCTGGGAAGGTGGCTCAGTGATAAAGCGCTTGCCTTGCATGCCTGAAGCCCTGGGTTCGATTCCTCAGCACCACATAAGCAAAAAGAAAAAAGCCAGAAGTGGCTCAAGTGGTAAAGTGCTAGCCTTAAGCTGAAGAGCTGAGGGACAGTGCCCAGTCTCAGAGTTCAGGCCCAATGACCAGACCCCCCCCAAAAAAAAAAGAAAAGAAAAGAAGAGAACTTAAGAAAATCAGAGAGGGGCTAGGAAGGTGGCTCAGTGGTGGAGTGCTTGCCTTGCATGCATGAGGCCCTGGGTTCGATTCCTCAGCTCCACATAAGCAAAAAGAAAAAAGCCAGAAGTGGCGCTGTGGCTCAAGTGGTAGAGCGCTAGCCTTGAGCTGAAGTACAGCGCCCAGGCCCAGAGTTCAGGCCCCACAACCGGACCCAAAAAAAAAAAAAAAAGAAAATCAGAGAAATACTGAAACTGGAAAACATGGAGCTGCTGCTGTGAGGCTTTAGACTATGACCTTCAAAGTTGGGCATATATGTAAGTTAAATATTAAACACAGCTTAAAAAAAAAACCCACTTATATCCATGTTGGGAACAGTTTAGACTATGAACTTCAAAGCTGGACATATGTGTAAGTTAAAAATTAAACACAGCTTAAAAAAAAAAAAGAAAACTACTTATATCCATGTTGTGAACAGATAATTATGTAGTACGTTTGGAAGCACTATCCTGACAGAACAGGAAGCAAGACCCCATGTCAAAAATAGCCAGTGCAAAAAGTGCTGGAGGGACAGCTCAGATTTGGTGAAATTAAGAAAACTGTAGTAATGGCTGGCTTTAGTGCATCTCATTTTTTCAATGTTTCAGTTCGGATTCTTTTCACACAAGTGTATATTTTAAATACACACATATATATATACATATATATACATTATTTCTATTTTATATTTAGAATGTTTCTCCTCTCTCAGATTCTTATATAGATCTATATACATATAATCAGAGATTTAGGCATTTCTGAATCTCTTTCACTGACTAGCCTTCTTGCACTGTTAAAGCTTAGACTAACACATGTCATAGTTTTGGAGATTTTTGGTCTTGAACTTGGTACCTGACACTTTTACTCACTGGGTAGCACTCTACCAACTGAGCCACACCTCCAACCCCACAAAGTCACAATTAACACTGTCAGAAAGTGGTTCCCACCACTATGCCTTCCACTTTCAAGTTTTACATTTTTCCATTTTTTTTAAGGTCTTACACATTCAGGAGCCATTCTAAAAAGTAAATTCAAAAAATAGATGTTTATTTCCTTTATTCATATTTGTCATTTAGGTTAGGGAAGGTCTAGATGATGTAATCAGTTCAAACTAGTTACAGGTATCTATGGGGCAAGAAGAACTATAGGGTTAAGAGAAAGGGAGGGACAGTACAGACTTTGAGGACGAACAGTCAGGAAACAGTAAAAGGAAAAGGTGGTTCCAATAGAGACCGGCATGTGCAGAGGCCTGAACATCAAAGCTGTGTGTTATCTTGAAGTGCTGGAATGATAGGGCAAGTACAGCAGGCAAGGGCAGAGAACACGGGACCCAATATATATGGCTGCAAGGCAGCTTGGTGGAGAGGGATGCTGATGAACTGAATGCCATGTGGTCAGATGTAAATGGGCAATGCCCAGGCAGGCCACACTGGAAATTAACCCAAGGGAAGTAAAACCAGAGACAAACTCATGTGCAGGCCAGAGTCAGCAATGCAGGCAAGAATAAAAGGAAAAGCTGAGCACAAACAGTCCCAGAAAGACAGAAGCAGGGAACAGTTTAGGAACACAGTGCAAACAATCAGCATTTATAAAAATTGCTTTGCAAAGAACTTACATATCTTATACCCATCTAGTAAGAGACACTACACATCAATAAACTGTCCTTCTGGGGATATGGCCCAAGACCATATGCTACATCTGTCTGCAAGGACTCTCACTCACCTGATAAAGTGCGTGGAACTTCCCCCTGAACAGAAATGTTGACCTGGGGCATGTCCATAGCCACAAAATTGTCTACCTGGAATCCTAGTTTATATTCAACCTGTAAAATGAAGAGAACTAATACACATCAGATTTGTGGTAACTGAAAGGACATTAGTAGCTTAACTTCATTAATTAGCCTACTAATCAGTATAAATAATGAACCTTTCATGAATACAAATAAACCAGCTATCAAATCTACATTGCTAGAAACAGTCCTAGAAATTTTCAATGGGATAGGTTCACAATCTGCCCTCTCTCTGGTATCTAGAATACTACCACCACTCTACCCTGAAGTCTACCTAGGAGGACTTGATAAATCCTTCTGAGGTCTACACAGCCACTGACAGAGAAGCCTGGGGAGTCAGATAAACAACTAGAGAGTTGAGATACATACTTTTCAGGGTGTAACTATTTATCAATGCATTCTCACACTGATTTAAACAAAAAAAAAAAAAAACAAGTTCTGGGGCTTGGAAGATGGCTCAGTGGTAGAATGCTTGCCTAGCATGCATGAAGCCCTGGGTTTGATTCTTCAGTACCACATACACAGAAAAAGCTGGAAGCAGTGCTGTGGCTCAAGTGGTAGAGCGCTAGCCTTGAGCAAAAGCAGCTCAGGGACAGTGCTCAGGCCATGAGTTCAAGCCCCAGGGACCAGCCAGAGAGGAAAAAAAAAAAAAAGGAAAGAAAGAAAAAAAGAAAGAAAACTGCTTGGCCGGGCGCCAGTGGCTCACGCCTGTAATCCTAGCTACTCAGGAGGCTGAGATCTGAGGATCGAAGTTCAAAGCCAGCCTGGGCAGGGAAGTCCATGAGACTCTTATCTCCAATAAACCACTTGAAAACCGGAAGTGGCACTGTGGCTCAATTGGTAGAGCACTCGCCTTGAGCTGAAGAGCTGAGGGACAGCGCCCAAGCCCAGAGTTCAAGCCCCACGACTGACAAAAAAAAAAAAGAAAAAAGTTCTGAGAGCATCTATGTGGCTAATAAAGATTCCAACATAAACCATATATTCTCCAGTTCAGCTTTTATCTACTGCTATAGTTTGAATGTTGACTGTCACCTAAAGATTCAAGGGTTAAAGGTTTGGTCTCCATTGGAAGTTGGTGGAACCTTTGGGAGGTAGACCTTAGTAAGGGGTTCTTGGGCACTATCACTTTTTGTTTTTATAAACTGATTACCCTTTTTGTGTGTGTGAGTAACAAAGTTAATACAACTACTATGAAATTTCATGTTTGGATTTCTAATCTCTGGATCTATTTCTCAAGTGCTTCAGAATCTAGAAGAAACCAATAAGTTGTTCTATATTATCACCAATATTTCTTTGTCAACACCTCACCCTCTCAGTGTGGCATAATCAAACCAACTACCATTAACCATTATAAATAGCTCTATTGCTACAGAGAGTTCATGGGGAAGCTGCTCAAACTGCAAAGCAATAGCTGAAATTCAGAAGAGCTCCATCTTTAAGAGCTTCAATGAGGCCTTATATTTCATAAGACTCTTTGTCCTGCTCATGAGATTAGCAAAAGGACAGAACCTTTCCCCATTCTGGGGTCACACAGGTGTCTTTGGTGAAGGGCTAGGATTGGCAGAACCATCAGGCAGTAAGATGGAAAGAAAGAGGAAGGAAAGAGGAGTAATCAGTCTTTAAGAAACGTAGAAACCAGCCAGCGCCGGTGGCTCACGCCTGTAATCCTATCTACTCAGGAGGCTGAGATTTGAGGATTGCAGTTCAAAGCCAGCCCAGGCAGGAAAGTCCATGAGACTCTTATCTCCAATAAACCACTAGAAAACCGAAGTGGCACTGTGGCTCAAGTGGTAGAGTGCTCGCCTTGAGCTGAAGAGCACAGGGACAGGGCCCAAGGCCAGAGTTCAAGCCTCACGACCGACAAAAAAAAAAAAAAAAGAAACATAGAAAGAGGCACCCACATATTCTCATATTAATTGAAGCACTATTCACAAAAGCCAAAAAATTAACAACTTGAATGTCCATCAAGTAATGAATGGAGTGTGGCATACACACACACACACACACACACACAAATATGGAATTCTATTTATCCATAAAAAGGATAAAATCTTCTCATTTGTGACAGCATGAATGAACTGGAAAACATTATATTAATTGAAATAAGGCAAGCACAGAAAGACCAGTATTATATGATCTCACATTCAGAATCTAAAAAAGCTGAAGCAGAGAGAAGAAAGGCAATTGCCAGGGTCGGGGAAGGGGCTGAGGGGAGAGGACGTAGTAGCTGCTAAATTATAGCCAGACAGAAATTCTGGTGAGGTACTACACAGCAGTGTTATTATCAATAACAATAATGTGATTGATATTTTATTCAAAGTATTTTCTTCTAGCTTTCTGAGCTGTATAATTTTAAATGTTTTCATCAGAAACAAGTGTTTGAGAAAATATTTACCCTTATTTAAAATTTCACAATGTATACAAACACTGAAACACATGGCAGCTCATAAATACATCTTATATACTTATGAATAAATTAACAATAAATGCAAAAAATTTTTTAAAAGAAACTAGGAAGAATAGGATACAAGTGGGGGGAAGCGGGTAAAGCTTTCCTTCCTTGTTTTTTAATGGGAAATATTCAAGTATGTTTAAATGTTAGTATGAAAGGGAAAGACGTCTGGTGGTAGAGGTGAAGGTGAAGAGGGGAAAGGTATCACCCACACTGTAGGGAAGGGGCAGCTCCAGGCATCAGGTCAGGGAGTCGATGCTGTTACCCATGAAGAAGAAGGAAGGACTCACCCAGTTCAGTTTGGTTCTCCGCTGACACGCTACCTGAAAGTGTCTGAGCTAAACACTGCAGAGGTGTGTGAATACTAAACCTTTCTTCCCAGTTAAGATGGGTGCGTGAATATCATCTATCAAAAGCTGTACTTTGTGCCACATCCTGCTGCAGTACATCAATGGCTTGCTATTTCAGCAAGGAAACCTTACTAGCCTTAGCACATGGCAGTACCATGGCTACCACCAGGGGATGCTAGAGAGCTAGCTAAGCACCTAAGGGTTGGGAATGCAGAAGCTATTCTCCTATATGGGGGACATGGGGATCAGTTAATCTACCTTTTCTAGAGCCTAGCCAGGACTACTCAGTTACATGTTCCCACAGCCTGTGCCCCAAAGGGGTATTACTGACAGAGACATACTGACACCTTCAGCTGGTTCACTCCCGTCTTCTACCGCCTTGGAAGATGGCCCTAGCAATCTCCCAGTCCCTTCCTCCACTCGAGCTGCTATCCAGCTAAGGGAATTACATCCTGAGGAGAGGCACTCGTCCTGAGCTGTGATCAGCAGTCCTTCCTTCATTGACGCTTATCCAGTTTCTTTTGGATTTCACAAACTGACCACCCGCTGTCCTTCTTGCTCCCCCCTCAACTATCTCAGAGGAACCCACTTTCTGACCTCTCCCTAGCACCAGGCAGATCTGTGAGAACACCTCTTCTTTGAACTCCACTTCTAAGGAAAAGTCTAATCTCTTCAAATGATAAATCCTCCTTTAAGTATAGTAGGTTCTGGCCATCTTGCCATTAATGAGTTCTCAATACTATCAGCTTGTTTCTCTTGCTCTCCTTTATCATTATCAATCTCCCTTATATGTAACATCACCTTCTAGGCAGACCTATCTACCTAATGACCCTACAGCTTTCACATTTAACAGACTCAACTTGAACTTAGTACATTTCTCCAAATTCATTCTGTCTTCTTTACTGTAGGTCCAGTGTTATAAGTAGAAGAACAGCTGAACCCCAAGAGAGCAGGGAGGGAGTAGAGCACAGGACTCAAGGGACCAGTCTAGCCCTAGTCTCTCAATGGAGCAGGGCGCAGGTAGGGAGAAGGAATGATGATGAGGTTGAGTGGAGCTAGGAAGAAGTGGTAGAATAGGGGAGAAGGGAGGCTTAGAAGAACATACAGTATGGAAGCGTGAAAACATAGAAGCCTGCCCTTTGTGAGGGACTGTCTGAATGCACGAGTCCTTGGGACTTTTAAACTGCAATTTCTGGAAATCAAAGAAAATGCCCATTATTGAAATCCAGTTTTCTCCACGTTCTCCACATGTACTGACCTCTAAAGAATTTTATTTGCTAATCACTCTATGAAGAAACCAATCTATTCAAAGGCCAAATGTATAATCTACTGAAACCAAGAAATTTGAACAGCAGTTATTAGGAGGAAAAAAAAAGACCGTGCCAAAATATTTTAGTAACCAGAGAAAATATAAAAATTTGAATACGCTACAAGATAAACATTTTTGGTAAATCATTCTTCACTTGGAACAAATACAAATGGCAATTGCAAACAGGCAGCTGATGAATAAATCCACCTGCTTCTGGAACACAGACAATACAAGTTTAAAGTGGATACATTTGCCTACACTGAACTTACCAGTGAACCTCACTGTGGAGGGGACACAGCGGGTTGATCCCAAGGGGCTGCTGGTAGAACACTATCAAGCATCTCTAGACTTTCCTGGACAATGATGAAGGAATCCAGAAAGCAGCTATAGAGAGAGGGGGTCGTGGGAGATCACGCTATATCTTAGTGTATTTTTGTAACTCTGGGCCAGCTAATGTATGCCACCTAAAGAGAGTATAACAGCATGTTTTTTCCTGGACACTGGAGGAATGTTCTGGAATACTGAAGAACCGAGGTGCCTGTTAAAACAACCCTGTAGTTTTCTCTCTTTATATATATCTCCCCATCCTTATGAGAGAATCTACTCCTATCTCAAAACATAATTAGCCCTCGCTGAGGCACATGTTACATATATGTCAAGACAGACACAACAAAGGCCTCCGAGGGAACCATAATGTTTGGCAAGACAGAATAGTCATGTAAACACTAGAAAGCAACACTATTAGCAAAACTTTTGATATGTGAAAACTCATGTTAAAATATCTAGTATTGAAATAATGTATTAGGGAGCCTGAAGATCTTTGAAGGTATTTAATTTTTTTTCAAAAGCAAGCATTGAGCGTCTCTGATAAAGTGTTTGAGCTTAGGAACCATTGCTGTCCTTCTGAAAGTCCATGACTTTGTCTCAGAGCCAAATGACCAAGCTAAGAACCTGTCGCCCTATCTCCTTTGCCCTCTTGTGGTGTCTTGCCCATTTCAGGTCATGTCCACATCTTGCTTTTACCCCCCTACTACATTAGGTAAGACCCTTTCCAAATCTGGGTCTTTGTTTACTCTTTAAGACCTGATAAAAGCACAATTACATAAGAAATATGATATAGCTACTGAAGAAGGATGAAAGTGCAGCTCTATATGAAGGATCAGAGACTGTTTCTGCTTAAGATTTACTTACACATACCTACACACACATGCTCAATACAGCCAGTATCAAAACAGATAACCTCTCCGTAATAATTAAAACATAGCTACAATAGGTATTCTTATTTTGAGTTGTGGAACTATTTTTTTCCCCCTCAAGTAAGATTCTACTTGAGGGGATAAAACTTGATAAAAGAATCCTGGTTGGAGGAGGGGAAGAAGCTCAACATACAGCCTCCCTGGGGGTGGAAAAACCGAGGAACCTGGGCAGTTAGAGGAGATCTGAAGAATTCAGCAACAAGTTAAGGTTCTGGGCAAGTGGTTCTGAAGTGCAAGCTGGATACTGATGGGTCAGGAGTCTGAGATCTAAAGATCCAGGTTCAGAGCCAATTCAAGTACGTAAAAGCTTATCTCCAATTATGCAGCAAGAAGCCAGAAATGGAGGCATAGCTCAAGTGATAGAATGCTAACCATGAGTGCAGAGGAAGCCAAGCAAGAGCATGAGGCCCTGAGTTCAAGCCATGGTACGAGGAGGGGGAAAAAAAAGTGTTAAGTTCTGGGGTTAGACCCTTAGGTCTAACCTCAACACACACACACAGACACACACACACACACACAGACACACACACACAGACACACACACACAGACACACACACACAGACACACACACACAGACACACAGACACACACACACACACACACACACACCTGTAGCACCCTGCTTTCACCTTGAATGTGACAACCGTAAAACATGTGTGGGAGATCTTACCGGTTACTCCAAATCCCCTCACAGGTGGGTTCACCAGAACAACAGGGTCATTACCAGGTCGACTCTCCTTTCCCCAGCCTAGACCCAAATTCCATTTGAAAACCCTCAAAGGATGAAGTGTCTGTATGTCCCAATCACCTACATGCTGGCCACTACCTCACTGCAAAGGACCTGAGAAACTTTAGAGGCTCCAAGATTGAAAGTATAAATCTGAAGACCCAGTACTGTTATGGCACACCACCCACGGACCCTTCTTTCAGATACAGCCCCTGCCTCTGGGGCCTGTGCAGCCCCGTCAGGGCAGCTGCCAACCACTCACTCTCTTACCTTGGACTTCGCATGCCAAGTGAAGTGCAGGAAATTTGTCTCACTGGGTACTAGCAGGTTAAAAGATAGAGCGTAGTGACTAATAAGGTCGTTTCTCACATAATAAAGTTCTGCATCAAGACCTAGAACAAAATAAGGAAAAATAATTAAGCACCTAAATATCTTCAAACTGAAGCTCATCAGTATTTCAAAGCCAGTGACTACTGGTGTACCACATGTACATCACAAACAGCTCACCTATGTGCTGTGCTGCCTTATAAAGCAGGACATTGTATTTTATTACTACCCACAAAGACGAAGAAACTGGGACTCAAAAAGGAGCTCTCCCTATAAGAACTGGTGTGCAGGACCAGAACTTGGGTAGCCAGTTTGTTTTCTGAGGGACCATGACACTCTGTATTCTGGAAAGTGCTTGTCTTGTGTGGTATCTACACAGAAACACCCTTTTTCTCAAAGTTGATGCAGACTTTACATGAGAGGTTCAAAATGGAAGGGAGACTGCTACCTGATTAAAGCTTAAGTGTGAGCCAAAGCCTTCAGCTTCCAGCTTGGGGGAAAAAAAAATCTCTGCCTCCTCCATAAGAACCTCAGACTAGAAGGTACAGAATGCCATATTTCTCATACACTCAGACATACTTCTTTTCACAAAGTACATATCAGGAGATGAGAGAAAGTAAGAAGAAACTTGGACAAGAAAACTGGATAAAAAGAAATACAAAATCCAATCACAGTAGCATATAGTTTAAATTTTTTTTTTAAAGTCAACGTGTATTCTATAGTAGATTTACTGTCCACAAAAAACACACATCTGGGGCTGGGAAGGTGGCTCAGTGGTAGAGCGCCTGCCTTGTATGCCTGAGGCCCTGGGTTCGATTCCCCAGCACCACATAAACAAAAAGACAAAAGCCAGAAGTGGCGCTGTGGCTCAAGTGGTAGAGTGCTAGCCTTGAGCTGAAGAGCTAAGGGACAGCACCCACGCCCAGAGTTCAGGCCCCACGACCGCAGCCAAAAAAAAAAAAAAAAGAAACACACATCTAAAAGAAATAAATATATGGTAGGTAAATCGAAGAAAGTTAAGTGAAGATATTTCATACTAGAAAATTCATCAGTTAGTAAAAAACTTGTAAGCAGGATTTCATAATAATAAGTACAAATAGTGCAACTAACAGAGATGCAAGATATAAGCATGAGTCAACAGGAAAAGCAGCAAGAAACAGGCAAACCCACAAGTATAGTTGCAAACTACCTCTGAAATCTGAAGATCAAAACAGATAAAGCAGGTGAACTCATATTTTCAACAATAAAATTATAGAATATCAAAGACAGAGATTAATCGTGGGTTATATTATGCATATTTTTAAATTATTTTAAACCAAAAATCATACAGCTTACTTCCTCTGCTTAAATATAACAAAAAAACTACAACCTAATGAAGCCAAGTTAATCTATTTGAAAAAAGATCACTATACTCTTTAAAGATTTAAAAAAATAAACCCCAAATACATACTTCCACTGTTAAAAATAGTGATAACCACAAATCTTTTTAACATTAACTGTATTACAATAAATTTAACAACTTAACACCACTAACTAAAACACTGAAAAAAGAAATAAAAATTCTGACCAATTAAAAAATCCATCATAGAGAAAGCTCCAAATGCAGATGGCTTTACCTGCTATTTCACTCGAACATTTAATGAAGAAGAAATACCAATTTTATATAAATTCTATCAAGAAGTAATCTGTGGCTTAGTGGTGCAGTGCTTGCCTAGCATGCATGAAGCCCTGGGTTTGAATCCTAAGTACCACATAAGCAGAAAAAGCTGGTAGTGGCACTGTAGCACAAGTGGTAGAGTGCTAGTCTTCAGCCAAAAAAGCACAGGGGCAGCGCCCAGACCAAGTTCAAGCTCCAGGACTGGAAAAAAAAAAAAAAGTAAACCATAACTCACAGTAGAGACCGGCATCACAGTGATAATGTTAGCCAGATGGATGCTGTTGAGCAGGAAGGAAGAAATTACCTGCGCTACATGAATCCATTCCTCCTCTTGGGGGGAAAAATCCTAACATCTCCAGATGGCCCACATCTTAGCCCTACATCCTCCTTCCTGGGCCCGCTCCCTTTCAAATCAGGGCAGCACAGGAGTCTACACAGGGTATAATGACCTCTATACAACCTTAAATCCAGAATGTCAAAGAGAATGCCCTCACTTTCTAAAAACTCAGGTGTAGGGCTTCCCAAATCCAAGCACCACCACCTAGTACCCAATGTTACTGGGTAATAAAACCTCAGGCCCCCAGAACTTCAAGATGGTCAGAACTTATCCAAACTGTCCCCATCCAGAACGGCTCCTCACTACCTGACCTGCTACCCTTCCCACTCTTTGTAGGTCTTTTGTTGCACCTGGAGCAGTATCCCAATCTTACACATTGTAGCCAAAAAAAAAAAAAAAACCTATAGAACATTTGGAACACTCATTCACAAATAACTATACTGACATCTAAATGAAACATGAAAACAGAAAATTATAACCAACATTCCTCATTAATGTAGACCCAAACATCTCCACAAAAAGCCAAATTAAAGGGCTGGGAAGGTGGCTCAGTGGTAGAGCGCTTGCCTTGCATGCCTGAGGCCCTGGGTTCGATTCCTCAGCACCACATAAGCAAAAAGAAAAAAG